CCCGGCGAACCGAGTTCCATTCCCGCTCACGGCCACCACCGGTGACGATTATTTGAACCTCCCCTAGGTCGACTCAGCCTCAAACGAGTAACTGGTGTGGCGTATTAACATCGCCACTGGGGAGACAAAGGCGGCCGTGCGTGAGTGGTGAGGGAGGGAGAGTCGTGAGGGAGGGAGAGTGCTGAGGGAGGGAGAGTGGTAAGGGAGGGAGAGTGGTGAGGGAGGGACTCAGCCGCAAAACGAGTAACTGGTGTGGCGTATTAACATCGCCACTGGGGAGACAAAGGCGGCCGGGCGTGGTGGATACAAGTCCCGGGCGAAGCCGGGTAGTACAGCTAGTATTCTAGGAAGTAGACGGCCCTTTGCTAATGGTTCTGTTAATTCTGCAGCCTTTTGTTATTCGTAATACATTTTTATTACATTTTGAAAAGTAGGCTTAATATCGCAGCTTATTGTTGATCCTGCAGCAACACGCTTATGCTGTTGTATTTTTTTCACCCGTAAAAAGTATTTGCTACTTTTCACGACATATCTTGCAAAGTAACGTACATTTGTGTTGGTTTATGAGCTATGCAAAAGGGCCATTGCCCAAAACGTCGCCGATTAGATTGAAATTTATTTTTGTAAGGCAGTGTTGTTGCCGAGTGTGTTGGAGCTTTTAAGTTTGTGTTGAGTTTCTCCGACAATACCTGTTTGGATAACTCTGTACCATAATGACCGTCCACACGTGATTGGGGGATATGACATTGTTTTGGATAAAGTCTTTAACGTGTCTAATAGGGCACTTGAGTTGTGTACGTTAAAGGCATCGCTGTCCCGGACAGTCGGCTGGGAGTATGCCTAACATATCAGATATGTGTCCAGCAATCACCATTTCCTACACTGCGTGGGTCAAACTGAATGAGAGCTGTGACTTGCTGATAAGACCCGCGAAAGCACATTTTACCACAGAAAACACGAAGGAGGTGGAAATAACAGCTTTTCTGTGTTGAGATTTATTATTAAACTAGCTGAGCGGGGGGGCGTTACTCCGACCCAAGTGATGAGGTTCAAAACATTACACATCACACTATCTACTACATACAGCTAAGATATAGTACACATGTCATGTGTAATGTTGTTACATACCCATACCTGTCAACCCAAACACACAAAAAAACACTAATGTAGACTGTAGCTTGGTTCGTAATCGGAGTGAGTGTACTGGCAATTTCTAATGTGGACTTTAGCCTGGTTATTAATCTTGGTGAGTGTACTGGCAGTCTATAATGTAGACTGCAGTCTATAATGTAGACTGCCAGTACACACGTGTACACACACGAAACTACTAACTTTTATATAAAACAGGGTGTCCCATAAGTCTGGAATCATGGGAAAAAAGAATACAAAAACAAGCAACAATAACGCTTCTGTTCACAGAAAGCGCTCAATTATCTGGACTTGTTCTTCCTTACACAAGATACATCTTTGGGGCCTGCAGAAACAAACAAAAAACACGTTAATTAGTTACTTTGCCCTATGATTGCAGACTTATGGGACACCCTGTAAATGTGCAAGATATGCCAACTGTGGCTCACAGACGCATCAGTGTTGAGCCTTTCAGTGGTTTGGCCAATGGCAGGCAGGGAGTTAATGAACTGTGTGTGCGCGCTGTTGCTACGTTGTTTTGAACATTAAAGTTTACCCTCTACACTACACCTCAAGCTATTACAGAAAGGGACAAAACAACAGCATTGCATTGTTATATATTGAATGTTACAATGTGCAAAACGGAATACTCTTCTGTAATGGCTGTGTCTCGGCCTCGCTGTGCGCTGCATTGCACCACTATCCGAGTAGTTAACCTCGCATTCAATAAATCTTCAGAGCCAGGGTGAACATCCGACTCCAACGTATTGAATGAATAGAACGAGGTAAAACTTATGAAAAAACACAGCACAAAATACAGCATCTGTTAATACTTGCAATATCAATACAATGAATGAACACTGCAGTATCATAACATTGTCTTAGATAACATGAATCTCAATAATTATATAATAGGTCCTGGATGGACCAGGCATCTCCATTAGCACTGACTAGTTATTCAACAAGAGAAAAAGCTGTGTTTAATAAGGTCACTTTGTGTAATCACCATACTGCAGCCTAAATGTACAGCGCTGCACGTAACACTGAACTGTGGATGAGATACTTCTTTATCCTTGCTCTCAAGATCACATTAAAGTTACATGAGCACAAGTCTGGCTCGACCTATCCAACTACAAATAACTTTCACTATAATGCAAGTGACAGGCTTCGTTGTTAACTAGTCATCATATTCATTGTAACAATGTAACAGCATTATAACGACAATCCGAACATAACAGTATTCCCAGTATTATAAGAACATACGCGAACTTACAGACAATGCTTGTTAAAGTGCCGCAATGAACAGATGCACCCGTCTTCACTGAGATGGTAATTGTGCCTCCATTTTGTACTCTGTGTAATGGCTGACACCCCTGCCTGGCCTCGTGACTTAAAGACCCTTAACTCGTAACTTCCTGGTCACGTGACCAAACTCAACACCGTCATATCAGGAAGATCCTTTGAAAACACACACCCATATCTGCAGTGGGGTCTAAATCCTGCATCGACGGTCGATTCATTTGCAGCTTAATTAGAGCGGGCAAAGCATGTAGTAACTGGCTGCCACCGGAGGCGATCGCTGCGAAGTAGACGTGGGGGAGGCGAGACTGTCTTTAGAAGAAAATTAGTTTGGAAAGTGACTCACAGAGCCGCCTGCAGATCTGCCAACTGACTCATTATTGAGTCTCACAGATCATTCTATGCCCTACGTGTCAATGCGTCGGCTTGTAACCCCCATGCTCTGTGGTGCGTCATGAAGCATCTGCTGTACTCCACATCACCGAGTCAACCCGGTCTGTGTACAGTACTGTACTTGCGACATCCTTCGCTAATAAAATAGTGACGATCGAGATGGCAGTTTCTAACTTGAAGGCAATGCATTCTCCCGGTCTGCCATCTCAGTTTGATCAACCTGAAATCAATGCAAAACTCCAGACCGACCCTGACACCAATGTTGGTGGCAGAGGTGTCGATGTTCATCGCATGGCTGTAAAATAAGACATCACCGCTTGATTACATACACACGTCAATTCTCAAATCATGTTTGGACGTTCTTGTGCTCCTGATTGCCCACCTGGCAAATTTTACTCAGCGAGGGCTGTTTCCCAGACTGGTTCAAAATGGCGTAAAAAAGAAGTTGGCTTGAGCCATAGTGACCCCGCTGACTATCGCCCGATCTCTAAGCTGAGAACGATTTCTAAGGCCATAGAGCACCTTTGTCTGTATTGGTTACATCCCCACGTCGCTGTGACGGGCAGATTCAACCCATTGCAGTCGGCATCCTGGAAGTGGCACAGCGCCGAGATGACTTTACTAAAGATCACTGACGACCTCTACAAGATCACGGATGACCAGTGTGCCGCAGCATTGGTTGGCCTCAATCTCTCAGCCGCCTATGACACCATCGATCATGAGATACTCATTGGGCAGCTAAGGTAAAGTTTCAGTGTATCGGATATGGTACTGGGGTGGATTGAATCATACCTAAATGGTCAATCACAGCTCGTCAAGCTGGGAGATAAACAGTCTTTGCCCTTGCCGTGCCTAGTTGGCGTGCCACAGGTATCTGTCCTCGTGCCCTTCCTATCTTCAGCATACGTCTCTCCGATCGCCGATGTCATCTCATCGCATGACATCAAGTTCCATCAATACGATGACGATACACAATTGTACACCGCAGTGAAGTCAAAGTTAGGTATGGAGAGCCTCGGCAACCTCGAAGATTGCACACGAGTGGTGCACGGGTGGTTTGCACGAACCGAAATGTTGCTTAATCCAAAAAAAATCGGAGCTTCTGCTGGTTGTCACTCAGGCTAAAAAATGTGTGGGAGGATCAAGTGTGGTGGTCACAGACTCCAGGATTCAGTTTTCTTCTCATCTAAAAAGGCCCCAGCACCGTACTTTACCAGAATGTCGTTTAATCACCACGTGCAAAACATAGTAAGGTCCTGCAATTTTCATATCGGGGTTCTACTATACACTCGACATAGCCAACACAGTAGAATTGTATTAACAAGGATCGATTATTGCAACTCACTACATCTCTACGGGATGTTTGGCAAAAACATTACCAATTTGCAGCGTGCGCAAAACTCTTTGGCACGTGTCGTGACTGGTACTGCAATACCTGACCATGTCCGTCCAGTGGACGCCGAGCTGCATTGGCTTCCGGTTACCGAACAAATACATTATAAGGTCGCACTCATTACACACAAAGTGCTTGCCACAAATTAACCACAACACCTTGCTGATCTCGTAAATGAGCATAAACCATCACACAAACTCCGGTCATCCTGGCAGCAGCGGCTTTTGGCTAGTCATTGAACAAAGACGGTCACTGCATCGTGCGCTTCTGCGGCCACCTGGAATGTTCTTCCGATATTAGGGAGCTACTAGAGCTGTGCACTTTTAAATTTAGATTGAAAACTCATTTCTTTAGAACTGCTTTTTGTGTTTAGTTGTCCTTCTCCTGCACCTCCGATTAGCGCGGTTGATTACGGATGCTGCAAAAGAAGTTCAACACATATACATACAAACTCTACATAGAAAGGCACATTAGTTGAATCATACCCAAGCACTACTTGCTGTGAGGCATGAGTGTTACCACTGCTCCACCCTGTTGCCCAATGATGCGTTGCACTGCACCGATGTTCAGGTGCTGTGTGCCCAGTTGTAACCCTAATGTGCTGATTGTTTTTTTTCAATGCAAATAATGGAGTTAACTTTAAAAAATATTTCTTGATCAGAATTTAAACTTTGCTTTGTTGTCAAGAATACAACCAAACAGGTTGTTTTCACGTAGTTATACGGTTGCATTTATTCACTATGCACTTTATTGTAAAAAAAACCCAACAACACATGCGATTTCTTAATACAACTTTATTTCAGCAAATTATCCAATGCAAAAGTAGAAACATTAAAAGCAATACATCTGAATACTAACATGTGTAACATACATCAAAATATGTACTGTATTCGCACATAGCAAATGTTAAAATTCAAGTCAAGCAATGAAAATACAAATGTAAAAATGGTCCGGGCTTTCGCCAAAATACATCCATGCTATATTCATGTGCATTACATATCAAAACATTCTCCATGATTTCTACATTTGCATAAGAGCACCGGGTAAAGTGGCACAGTAATCTATTATAAAACGTTTCATAGAGAGAAGAACGTTGTTCCGCAATTACCACAAGTTCTCAGAACTGCTTTACGTATCCCTGCATGCTTCCTTATCACAACTTCAAAATGAATTTATTTCCGTGAAGAGCCAACACAAAACTCCTTGAGTGCACTTGCGTTGTTCAGATTTCTCTTACAACTTTTGTTCATGGACGAGTTCGTAATAGGGAGTAGCATTTTTATTGTTATTTTTTTAAAATTATTTTTCATTGTTATTATAATTATTATCATGAGATGGTCAAGTCTTCACAGAAATACTTCTGAGTAGGACATTCCCAGATATAGTAAAAGGTCCAGATCATATTCCTAAATTGAAATTCTCCCCCACTTCCTACAACATTTTTGATTGACTGGTGATATACTTCCTTTTGGACAGGGTTCTGAGGTAGGAAGCCATTCAGCTAAAAACTAAAAAAAGCCTATGAACATTCATATAATATAGGGGGCACTGCGAATTAAAGGATTCGCATAATTTATGCAGTGCAGATTTCTAGAGTCCCACTGTTTCTCCAAAATGTATGTTGATCGCTTAAAGTTAATGACAGCATTGGTGGCATATATACATTCTCTTGAGTGTCTTACCTGGTTAATATTATTGTTATTAATTCTTACAGTCTCAGCAAATCGATTACAATCAATTAATCAAGCTAAAACATAACACTGTATTGAAAAGCAAAGTTTTTTCGGAAGCAATGAAACATATCCTTAAATCAATTACAAGCAAATATAAAAATGTATCACAGTTCACAGAACATTTTTTTGAAGATTGCGTTACAAAAAAGACGAGTTCCGTGCAATAAGATGCTGAGGAACAATTCTGCACATGGTGGAACAAAGTTGACTGTGGCACAGATGCACGCAGCACCCCTCCATCAGTTCTTGGCAAACCTGGGATTGACCACTGTCGTAGTGGCACTCTTGTAGATGGGATTGACACCCTGCGCGAACAACAAGAGAAACGCGACGCGCGTTAGAAGTGCGCATTCCAGTGGGATGCATTCGTTCGAAAATTATGAGAGTGTGACGTAACGTGCAGCACTTCTAAATAATGATCGATGATATTGATGATGGGAGTGACAGTGACCACGGGGGTGATGATGACTATAACTGTTTGCAGGAAAAGTACAGTAGCAGCAAATGTATCCAAATTATCTGAGCCTTTGCACAGATAAGAGTGACCCAGAATTGGCAGTAAATGCATTAAAATTACAGCATTTGTGTTTATTCACACTTTTCCACTTGGATAAAGTCAGTTATTTTGCGTGGCATCACAGATACTCAAAATCTCCCCCAGCACCACCACAGTGGCGTTACACTGTAATTTATTGTTATCCACAATTGTGTTCTATCTACTGCTGCATGAAGGCCTCTCCACGCCATCACCACTCCCCATGGTTCCGTGATGCCGCTATCCATTTCGCTCCCACGTGTGAGCCAATCTCATCACTACACCTCCACAGTGGTCGTCGTCACAGATGAGAATCCTATGGACTGCGACTCCAAAAGCAATCTTGTCCGTTAACCATTATCCATCTCAGTCAAGTGTCCTGTCCAAGGCCACTTACAATGTTATATAAATCTCAATAATTAGCTGTGTCATTGTGGGGAATATAAAAAAGCAGACAATGCACTCCCAAAAGCAGTTGCTGTGCTCCCAGAAGGCCGTGTGGCTGATGGGTTGTGTAATACTTTTCCATTCTACGTGGAGGGACATATATGTTAAGACATTAATAGGGATTTCCCCCTTTTTTCTGGCAACAAAACTGACACCTTTTGCAAGGAATCATGTTTACATTAACCACAATACTTGCAGTCAAATGCAGACAAAAAATAATACTCTGATAATTTATGCATTGTAAGTATTGTGGTTAATGTAAACATGATTCCTTGCAAAAGGTGTCAGTTTTGTTGCCAGAAAAAAGGGGAAAAACCCTATTAGTATATTTTGGTACTGGCAAAAGAGGTCCCATGATGTAGCTGCTCACCCCGAGCTCTCATTACTCTGATAGTGCGTTGTCTTTGAACTGTGCGCCTTTTGGCGTCATCTGGTCGAACACCATATGAGACTAGGCTATAAAGAAAGCTGTCTCTGGTGTGGACCAATCAGTTATTGTTTTTTGTTTGCATTTGACTGCACGTATTGTGGTTAATGTAAACATGATTCCTTGCAAAAGGTTTCAGTTTTGTTGCCATAAAAAAGGGGAAAACCCTATTAGTATATTTTGGTACTGGAAAAGGAGGTCCCATGATGTGAAGACATTGTTTACTTGTTTTGCTACAATATGATGATGGGTCAGTCAATATGACGTCCATGATGTTCCAAGGCTGTGTTAATTGTAATGTTAACCACAATGTGATGATATCTTCTTGGTTCTTTCGGTAAAGTCACGCAGAAGGGAAGCAATAAAATAACAAAAATAAAACATAACAAAATAATTCTTACGACGTTTCGGCCACAATGCAAGCAGCCGTCCTCAGGTGAAGAACATGTCTGTCGATAAGACAGAGTCTAAATGACACGTCTTAGGCTTGGAGTGTCTATTTAAGCTGTGAGGGAGGAGGAAGAGAGCCTTGACAAAAGAATTTGCATTTGAAGAGGAATTTAGCATATTTATGGGAAATGCAGGAATGCGAATAGTGCTAATTGTGAAATGCGTGGGAGGTGGGCAGGGGGTTTTCAAAGTCATATTATGCCCATGCATTATGCAGGATTAGCAGCATCAAAGGGAGGGGGCAGGGGCAGGGGCAGCACCAACAAAGGGAAGTAATGTGAATAGTATGCAGCTGCAGCAACTAAACAACCACGTAAAAAAAAAACTAAAGTATAAACTTCATAGTATCATCAGTATACTAAATATACTCTCCAATAAGCTGAGCTACTGCATACTATTCACATTCCTTCCCTTTGTTGGTGCTGCCCCTGCCCCTGCCCCCTCCCTTTGATGCTGCTAATCCTGCATAATGCATGGGCATAATATGACTTTGAAAACCCCCCGCCCACCTCCCACGCATTTCACAATTAGCACTATTCGCATTCCTGCATTTCCCATAAATATGCTAAATTCCTCTTCAAATTACAAATTCTTTTGTCAAGGCTCTCTTCCTCCTCCTTCACAGCTTAAATAGACACTCCAAGCCTAAGACGTGTCATTTAGACTCTGTCTTATCGACAGACATGTTCTTCACCTGAGGACGGCTGCTTGCGTTGTGGCCGAAACATCGTGAGAATTATTTTGTTATGTTTTATTTTTGTTATTTTATTGCTTCCCTTCTGCGTGACTTTGCCGAAAGAACCAAGAAGATGAATTCCTGCAGTCACGAAAGCTTTAAATCGAAATGTGATGATATATTTTCAGTCTCTGTTCGTATACCAGGTCCAAATGGAGTTCTTTTCATTTTAATTGAAAAGAAAACATTGGCGGCTATCTACCTATTATTTATCCTGATGCTGTTCAACTGAACTCGGTGAATGGCGAACATATAAAAATAAGTATCTATGTTGTCACTTCATAAGTGGTCTCCCAAGCAGGTGAGACGTGGATATTGCAAACGCGTAGTCCACATGACCAGTTACCATATGCCTCAGCCCACAGCTATAGTTTATGAAGGAGTTTGCCTTCTTGTTGGTTGATACCAATGGTGACAATGTTGACCTCTGGAAGGAAGGTTCACAAGACATGTGGTCCATGGGGCAGCTTGAATAAAGTGTACTCACACTAAAAACACAGGGTTGAGTTTATGGAGCATGACTCATGCTATGGTTAAGCTAGCCTGTGGCCAGGAACCCATTTGGCTCATTTTAGGATTTTTTTATATTTAATTACCAATTGCTTAATGGTGGCAGGCAATCATCTGACCCATAGGTGGCAGCCATCTCAAGCCAGAGGACGAGAGGACTCTAGCCGCCACGCATATAAAGGATTTATAGTAAAAAACTTTGTTTTTACGGGTTAATTTTTTCACAATTACATGTGCACCTAATTGTGCCGCAAACATGGCCCATGAGTTACAGTGACCACCACTGGAGTTGAAGATGGCAGCATTCAGCTCGGTGGCCGGACATCGATCGATCATCGACATCGATCATCGATCTCTCCCGGTCTCCAGAGCAACAACAACCACCACTGGGCGGCAAATGGGTGAATGTTTATGATTTAAACCAACGGTCAAGTTAGTGTATTTTACGGCGATAATAGGAATAAAAACTAAATAAGGAGATGGGTGGTGCTCATCTCCATTGGTGGCATCGAACAGTTGGTGAAAAGTTCACGCGGCTGTGAGACCACCACCCGTGACACTCATTCTGAGTGATAGAACACAGACGCAGGAAAAACAAATGTACGAACCAAAATGTAATTAGAGCATTCTCAGAGTGGGTGTAAATCATAAACCGATGTCCAAGTTCTGTAGCCATTGAGCGGCGTTGGTTGTAAGTTGACGAATGGCTTTGGTTACTGCCACACAATGGGTCTCGATGGGCAAGGGCATTCTACGAAGGCGTCTCAAGGTAGTAATTGAGCCTCGGGCATTAACAACCACCCCAAAAAGGAGCTTTAAGTTAGAAGGATTCGTTTTGCTTAGAAAGGATCCCATCTTCACCCTTCATGCTGTCAATGCCCCATTTGTGGCGTGAGTTGAGGGGTTATGCTCCGAAATGCCCGAGAAGCGCAGGCAATCGTCGCGTGTGCTTTCTTTCCAAGTGTTTTTATTTATTGAATGTGTTGTTTCTTACAAAACTGCGAATTTGTTTTTCTCTACATAGTCAAGCACATTTAGGATTTTTCAGTTATAGTTTTTATGTAGACATATGTACTGTAGATACGTATTTGCAAATAGGCAACCAATGGAAATTTCCATGGTAAATTATTTTTTTTTTCACATACAGTGTGTCATATGTTTAACGTGCCTAAGGCAGGCTGTTCTACTTTTCATATCAATGTCTTAAATGTCACTGGTAACATGGGTTTTGAGGAAGCAGAGTCTACAAATGCCATTTAATTCAGCTAATCCGCCCATATGGTTAACACTCATTAGTCGACTGCTCTGTTCTTCCTGTGTGAGATTAATGTGGCTCCCTTATGACATTTGAGTGTTGAAGAGTAAAAACAAAAAAAGCACAACTTGATAACTCCTTTGTTAAATTACGAATGCCGAATAGTTGAACTCGCTGACCGAAATCACCACCCGTAATGTGCGGAATTGAGCCCGGGTCGTGCACAAAACAGGCTGTAGCGGGGCGACGTGATGGCACAGCAAAATTGCAGTCTACTCTGCTCCCACGTGCACATTTCCTGCCTTCATCAAACCACACTGACCAGAACGGTCAAATATGGTCAAATAACCACCATGCCCCTCCCCCGCCCCCATGGAGTGAAAATTGCCTCATGCAGCAGCACAGAAATTATTCTCATCAGTTGATAAGTAATTACGAACCAGGATCAGAATTTTTGTATTCATCCTGGAGAAATGCGATGAGCTATGAATCTCTTGTTCACAGATGTCCAAGTAGGGGCGGGTCAGATATCCAAGTAGTATTCTGGACATGCGTGAAAAAGAGCTTCATAGCTCATCGGATTCCTCCAGTCTAAATCAATGAAAAAATTCTGATTCTCAGAGTGGAAATACCCAACACACGTCAGTTTTATTCAGCTGACACGTCCGTGTAGAACAGAGGTGTGTTCAGTATTTACCTTTAGTTAGTACGTGTGCATATTTGTTCATCTCGGCTAAAGGTTTGGTTTGTATCATCGCGAAGCCATGATCGATCCACTGCTGGATGAAGGCCTCCCCAAGCCACTGCCACCTCTCGCAGTCACGCGGTGCAACAATCCATCTAGCGTCTGTACATGCACTGATTCCATAGCTCCATCTGTGTGGGGGACAGGTGTGTTCCTTCCTTCGGTTTGCCCTCACCCCCGCCCCAGTTACTGCCCAAGCTCAATTTGATTTTCTTAACAGCTAATAGGATATGTCTAACCTGCAAATGCATGCAAGTATTTGACCAATGGCCTGTTGTTTTTTAATAAAATGTATAAAGGCACAACTTTGTTTAACACGTAGGCTTTCGCGACCTGACAAATTGCCAAATGATGCTGGATGTAATCACCAGAGAAACGTCGTAATCAAAAATTGTAAATGTTGTGGATTCACTCTTCAACACACCGGTGGGTTAAAGCAGTGAACTATTTGCCTTTTGTCAACGTGACACTTTTTTACTCATTGGCCGTGTCGGGTGGTGGAGGGTTACGACACATTTATAAATAACGCGATCTAACCCAAACACTTTATGAAGCACAACTTTGTTTTCTGCATCGGATTGAGTAGATTTATTATTAAAACTCAGTATGGACAAGCGGGCTTTTTAAGCTTTGTTCCAATTTCACTGTGGAGCAAAAGCATAGAGATGGTGACACAATTCTAAGTAACTCACGATAAAAACAATGGTGTGTCACATAATGTCTATGCTGTCGCGTGGGGTAGCGAGTATCCAGACTCTATTCCATTTGAAATGGCCTTGTACAATACACATTCAGATGAGTGATCGAAATGGGTGGCCAAGCGGCAGTGTTGTGAGAGCAATTGGAAGATTTTGTGATGTTTGAATCTCAGAGATTGACTCAGTCTGCTGTCCTGCCGAGGTGTATAAAATAAGTACCACTTTGTGGAAAGATGATAGTTGGTGTCCAACGAATGGACTCGCCATAGGAATGTGGAAAATGCACGATTATCTTTGAGCTGAATACTCATTGTGATAAGTGTAATCGCTTTTATTTGTGAAAAAACTTACTTCTCTGCTACTGTTGGTATATTGCTTTAATGGTATTAGTAATCAAAGCAACTTTGTTTTATGAACATATGAGTCATTCACAAAAATATAACATGAAATATTCCCACTCTTTTCTTATTGACATGACCTAATAATAAAAAAGTACATTTCGCCTCCCCATCCCATTTATGGGACCTTTTTTTCTTCTTGGTTCTTTCGGTAAAGTCACGTAGAAGGGAAGCAATAAAATAATAAAAATAAAACATAATAAAATAAAATAATTCTCACGACGTTTCGGCCACAACGCAAGCAGCCGTCCTCAGGTGAAGAATGAGACACTACCAAGCTAGGAGCTTATATATACGCTGCGTTGGAGGTGCAAGAGCGCCTTAACAAAAAGAATGTGCATATGAAGAGGAATTTAGCATATTCATGGGAAATGCGTAGGAGGTGGGTGGGGGGGGGGTTTCATAGTCATTATGCCCATGCATTATGCAGGATCAACAGCACCAAGGGGGGGGTGCAGTAGCATTAACAAAGGAAAAGAATGTTAATAGTATGTAGCTGCAGTTACTAAACAACAACGTAGAAAACTAAAGTATAAACTACATAAAAAAACTAAAGTATAAACTACATAGCACCATCAGTATACTTACTATACTCTACAATAAGCTGAGTTACTAACAGCAAGTAATACATTACAATTCTACGTCGTAAAAATTATATAATATGCTTCCATCTAAACTTTATTCTCTTACATCACACGAGCATACACCGTACTATATACTGCCATAGATAAACCCAACATTAAATTATATACTGTATTGCTATAAACTACCCTATACCTTATACATTTTAATATAACACTATGTATTATTCTACTCACCCTAATGTGTATCACACTGCTATATGTTTACTATACAATTACGATACTATATATTACTTTGTACATTGTATTAAGCATATAAATGTTATACTATTTGTTATTATACGCTGTACCATTGACCGTCGTATCAATGGGTGAGTCGTGGGGGGGAAACTTGCAGCGGAGCAAAGAATCCATTCCTTGCGGAGAATACAATGCCAGTGAGTGGAACGAGGTCTGAAAGTCACCGTAAACGTGAACACAATCAGTTAAGATCCGAAATGGTTTATTACGTCCTTCCAATGATTGCTAAGCCAGAATCCATCTTCTCGGTTAAAATTGTCTCTGTGTTTGTATATGTGGATCGCCTCATGAACGAATCTCTCATGATAGCCAGATGGCTTGCAGAGAACCTCTGTCTTGGAGAAGTCAATATCATGTGAGCCCACTGAGTTGTAACAGTGATCTGCCACGGCTGAGGTGTTTGTCCTACCGTGTTTCAGGTCAGCTTTATGTTCACGGATGCGGTCCGAGACATGTCGTTTGGTTTCCCCAATGTAACTGCTACCACAGAGGCAACTTAGTTTGTAGACGCCAGGGTACTGTATGTCTGGAACCACATCTTTTACAGACGGTACCAGATCACGGATTTTATGTACTGTGTTGAATCGAACCTGGATCTTGCAAGCAAATTGAGGGCACCCCAATGGGCTCCCCCCTATCTCCGGTTGTAGCCAACATCTTCATGGAGAAATTTGAGACTGACGCCATCCAGACTGCCACTCTACGCCCGACCTTATGGAAGAGGTACGTAGACGACACTTTTGTCATCTGGCCACATGGCAGGCCTACTCTCGACCAATTTCTCGACCACATCAATTCCATACACCCAGCCATCAGATTCACCATGGAAGTCGAAAAAGATGGCAAGCTACCCTTTTTGGATGTCCTAATCAAAAGGAGACCTGATGGTTCAATGAGCCACTCTGTCTACAGGAAAGCCACCCATACGGATGCTTACTTAAAACCGGATTCCCACCACCATCCATCCCAGAAGAATTCCCTCATCAAGACTCTATATCATAGAGCCCAATGCATCTCCGACCAGGAACACATTGCCAGTGAACTCAAACACGTACGCCAAGCTCTTAAGGCTAATGGTTACTCCGACTACACAATCCGCAAAGCCATCACTCCAACCATCAAGAAGGATCCTGTTGAGGAGCCTTTCAAGACCATCACCTTACCCTACATTGCTGGGGTCACAAAAAAGATCTCCAAAATCCTGATTAAACACAAGATCCAGGTCCGATTCAACACAGTACATAAAATCCGTGATCTGGTACCGTCTGTAAAAGATGTGGTTCCAGACATACAGTACCCTGGCGTCTACAAACTAAGTTGCCTCTGTGGTAGCAGTTACATTGGGGAAACCAAACGACATGTCTCGGACCGCATCCGTGAACATAAAGCTGACCTGAAACACGGTAGGACAAACACCTCAGCCGTGGCAGATCACTGTTACAACTCAGTGGGCTCACATGACATTGACTTCTCCAAGACAGAGGTTCTCTGCAAGCCATCTGGCTATCATGAGAGATTCGTTCATGAGGCGATCCACATATACAAACACAGAGACAATTTTAACCGAGAAGATGGATTCTGGCTTAGCAATCATTGGAAGGACGTAATAAACCATTTCGGATCTTAACTGATTGTGTTCACGTTTACGGTGACTTTCAGACCTCGTTCCACTCACTGGCATTGTATTCTCCGCAAGGAATGGATTCTTTGCTCCGCTGCAAGTTTCCCCCCCACGACTCACCCATTGATACGACGGTCAATGGTACAGCGTATAATAACAAAGAGTATAACATTTATATGCTTAATACAATGTACAAAGTAATATATAGTATCGTAATTGTATAGTAAACATATAGCAGTGTGATACACATTAGGGTGAGTAGAATAATACATAGTGTTATATTAAAATGTATAAGGTATAGGGTAGTTTATAGCAATACAGTATATAATTTAATGTTGGGTTTATCTATGGCAGTATATAGTACGGTGTATGCTCGTGTGATGTAAGAGAATAAAGTTTAGATGGAAGCATATTATATAATTTTTTACGACGTAGAATTGTAATGTATTACTTGCTCTTCTTGGTTCTTTCGGTAAAGTCACGTAGAAGGGAAGTAATAAAATAATAAAAATAAAACAACTCAAACATAATAACTCAGCTTATTGTAGAGTATAGTAAGTATACTCATGGTGCTATGCAGTTTATACTTTAGTTTTTTATGTAGTTCATACTTTAGTTTTCTACGTTGTTGTTTAGTAACTGCAGCTACATACTATTAACATTATTTTCCTTTGTTAATGCTACTGCACCCCCCCCCTTGGTGCTGTTGATCCTGCATAATGCATGGGCATAATGACTATGAAACCCCCCCCACCCACCTCCTACGCATTTCCCATGAATATGCTAAATTCCTCTTCATATGCACATTCTTTTTGTTAAGGCGCTCTTGCACCTCCAACGCAGCGTATATATAAGCTCCTAGCTTGGTAGTGTCTCATTCTTCACCTGAGGACGGCTGCTTGCGTTGTGGCCGAAACGTCGTGAGAATTATTTTATTTTATTATGTTTTATTTGTATTATTTTATTGCTTCCCTTCTACGTGACTTTACCGAAATAACCAAGAAGATGGATCCCTGCAGTCACGAAAGCTTTAAATCGGGACCTTTTTTGTTACTTTATATATAAAAAACAATTCTGCGAAACCCCCCCCCCCCCCAACAAATTACGTTTGAAAGAGAGAAAACTAAAAAGTTTGGCACTCACATCGTTCCATTTGGCGTTATGGCGTTCCTTCTCAAACCTTGCAAAATCTTTTTTGTCCTTCCAGGTGATGTAAGACTTCCACAGGAGCAGGAGGACGATGCCAATGATGAGGATTCCACCCACGCTGCCCCCCACAATGGCAGCCACATTCGGAGGTACCCGGCACTCTGGAAACAAAGGTAACGAAATGTGCAAGGCAGGCCACGTGGTACACGCGCCCTTCCCTCGTTACTCGCGAGGGGCGCGTTCCGGAGATGCTCGTGAAATGGCATATTTCGCGGATAATGATATTGGCCTGCGAAAACCTATCTTTTGTTTTTATAAATCACCTTAAATAAACACGTAAATAAGCTATTAAATACGTTAAAATTAGCACAATACCACAAGGGGACTGTACTATTTACTCCTGCACTATGGTTGAACATTACTTAATTGTAGGTTATTATACATGATATGTAAAATGTTATCATTTTGACATTACATTTCCACCCACTGTGAAAATCTGAATTCATTACAATGCAATGGTGCCTATTAGCCATGCCTTTTGAGGAATTTGCATATCCTCATAAACTTTTCTATTCTGACCTATAATACAGTAGATTATACAAGTGCCAATGAGATAAGAATTTGCCAACACTCAAAACTTTATATCTGCTTTATTTTATAGTAACAAATGTATAAAATACTTGAGTTGCTTGGATTTCTTCATGCACTAATATTCAATACTATAGCTTCATTAACATTTTATATAGCACTAGCTTTACTACCCGGCTTCGCCCGGGACTTGGATTCCGGTCTAGGATTAATTTCATATTCCCTTATATTTCACCGAAAAACCCTGAAAAAATCTTGATGCTTGAAAGAAAGAAAAAAGCCAAAACAAATCAATTTAACTAAATCAGATGTTTTTCACTCAAGGAAATTCAACCTTAACCCACTTATACGTAAGGTCGATTTAGGCAACTCGGCAAGGGAATGACGTGGCGAGCTGAAATTAGTCGCGTTCCCTTAGAAATTCCAGACAGCGTCAGCTGTGCAAATTTCATGACGTAAGAGGTCAGCGTTCGCGAGTTTTTGCTGCTTCACACAAACAGATGTATTTTCTGCTTTATATTTAAGAGCGAGCTCAAAATAGTCGCGTTGACTTAGAAAATCTAGACAGCTATACCGCGCATTTGTGCGGTATACACGGTCTACGCGCAGGGTTGGGGGGGGGTATGCGTGACGTCAGCAGGCACTGCGTGACGTTGCCGCATGCGAGTGACATCACAGATGTGACGTCACCGTTCACTTGCCGTGCAAAATATATCCATTATTGCGCCCCCCCCCCCCTAAAATACAAAAGTCTATTTTTATACTTTTTGCATTGTGTACAGTCTGGAAGCTACCCACATGCCAAATTTAAAGTTTGTTGCATGTCGGGAAGTATGCTAAACATTTCGAACAGACACACATATTCACAAATTTTCCTTTCATATATATTAAGATTTCATTTTTATTTTAAAACAGTATAATGGTATATAAACGTAGATTATGATTACTTCACTTGCATTTGACGTACATTCCTTGTCTATTATATATAAGTACAATAATAACCCAATATTATAATGGTGGGCTATGTACGGTGTGAAAGAAGTTCAACATATATGTTTCATGTTTCTGCAACTTTATTTATAATTGTGCTATGATCGGTCTAATAAATAATAATCTGAGGCGACTTGGCAGGGAATGTATTATTTAACATTGATTCATGTCCTGTACTATATATTTTTCTATATCTCCTGGAACACAGTTGTTATTTTGTGAATTTGGCGACCTAGGTCATTCTTGCAAATGAGATTATTCTGGTCTCTTGAGTTCTCATCTGCTTAAAGAGCATAAACTCAAATTGTCAACTTCCTCAAACTGACAGAAACTGCCTCAACAACCTATCAACTGACATTTTACGTTCAACAAATAAAAGTAGATCAATTGTACGAATTATTAAACAATAGTTCACGTATGAATGTCAAGTGATTATTCTAATGTGTTAATGTATCAGTGTTTAGCCTATCAATCCGACCATACTGTGAATACTGTACGAAAAAACATACCGTAGAGCATTATAATTCAGTTCTGTTACAGAGAAGCTCAGTTGCAACATTGTGCTTCCTCTTTCCCGCTTTAGGCAACTAATGTGAGGAAAACTGTATGGAGGATAACACTCCCAATTCAGAAGGTCTCAATGGGAACTTCAATGCAGTGGATCTCAATGGCTTTATAGATAAGAGGGCATGGGCATCAATAGGGTTTGGAGAACGGAATGAAAAACGTTACACACGTGTGGCAGCTGAAGCAGAATTGTGAGCGACAAAGTGGAATTATAAATCGGCGTGTGTTTGAATCGAGGCCTTACCGAGTTTATCTTTAATGGTGAAATGTAATTTCCCCTGGGAGGCGTCGCTGTAGCGGTACACCATATTACATTCAGCGTTGACTTTAACCACGCACTGCTTGTCATGGACCTCAAAGTTCGGCACCATGGTATGGGTATGCGGGCACAAGATGTCGCACGAATCTTTCTTCATTCCATCTTTGAATCCCAAGCACTGCGCGCACTCCCTAGAGACAACGTCCAACAGTTCACGAGCTGGGTTACAGGACACTCATCAGTACTCTTCCAAAAGAAAATACATTCCCAAATACAGCGGTCCCTGGGTTCACGATATAAATTGGTTCCACGAAAACCATCGTTAATTGAATATAGGAAATACATGTTAAAAGCTTAATTTGTTCCAAGACGATCGGAAGTGAAATGTTTTACCCTAAAAAATAGTTTCAAATATTTGCACACTAATTGTTTTCTTGTCTTTCTTCACGTTCATTTTAGGGGCCATTGTTATTGATACTATTTAATTTGAAAGTCACAAAAACACTAAGTATTCAAGACAGCTGTTTCCATAAGCAACGCACATCAAACATTAAAAAGCTAGCAGCTAGTTCCTCCCAAAACGCTATTTTAAATAAAAGGGCGTCGCTGATTGGCTGAGGTCTGCCGAGTCTACTTAGAGGAGCGCTCCGATTGGCCGAAATTGGCGGTCCGCATGATATCGTAAACATATCGTTCATCGAAAATGTCTCGTTAATCGAAACAATGAGACCCTATGGTAGGCGGGTCATTAATCAAAATATAGTTAATCGATGGCATCGTAAACCGAGAGACCACTGTGCAAGTCAATTCACAGCGATGTCCTGCTCAAATGAGGCAATGAGGTCTTGGTTCTTTCGGTAAGAACCAAGAAGATGGATCCCTGCAGTCACAAAAGCTTTAAATCGAAATTTGAGGCAATGAGGTGTTGAGGGTCATCTGTTCACAGCCCTAAACCAGTGGTAGAAATTCCACATTTCTGTGGCGGGGGACAAGTCCATCTGTAGTACAACCACTCTACTTCACAAAATGGAAATGATTTGATCAACCACAGAGGGCTGATGGGCTGAGTCAATCACCCCCCCCCCTCATACCCCAACCAGGATGTGAACTCGCAACCTTCTGATTGTGGGTTGCTCGCTGTACTGCTGAGCCAGGAGACGTAGCATGCACTTAGGATTTGCCCTTTCCCCACACCTCCAATTTGCATGGTTAGCTATGTGTAGTGCGAATGAAGTTCAACATACATACATTCTTCAAAAAAAGTTTAAATCACAGCAAACCACTGAATATATTTTTGATCAAATGGATACATGTTTTTCAACATTAAGAGAAGAAGCAACCATGACAAAAATACACATTTTGCTATTTCTATGGCAGAAGCCATTTGCTCGATAGTAAAAAAGCCGGATGAATTTCAGGAAAGTGATACTTTAACAATTTCTGAAGTTTGGTGTATTATTCACATGCAACCGATTTTTGAACTTGCATAAGTTAATTTGTGATTCTGGTATTTAAATGTGAAAACACACCAAGCACGATTACGTGGACTATCCATTATTCATAAAGCGCAAATACAGTGGAACCTCGGTATACAACCGCTTTGGAATAAGTAGAATTTAGTATACGTCGTGTTTTTTCGAGAGAAAAAATGTCTTGGGATACGACGTCTTGCTTGGGATACGACGTGTTTGCTAGAACTTGTGTGGGTCGGGATGAGTCACCGCGTACAGGACCCGCGTGTGCCCCGTTCACGACTGAAACAAAGCGAGAGGGGCGGGGTGGCGTGGGGGAGAGGGGCGGGGGACGTGGGGGAGAGGGGCGGGGGGCGTGGGGGAGAGGGGCGGGGGGCGTGGGGGGCTGCCCCCAAGGAGGGTGGAGCCCCGGGTCGAGGCGCGTGTGACGTACGGGGTTGAGGCACGCCACGTGACCAGCGCAGCTGGCAGCAGCGCGGTTACGTGGCTTCTGTATGCATTTTAGTAATTAGTGTCTAAATTATTTTATACAACCCCAATAATGTATAATATGCCATATAAAATATAATTTCCTTTCCTCTGGAACGGATTATTTCCGTTCCCTTTATTTCTTATGGGAAAAATTCGTTTGGTATACGTCATTTTCGGTATAAGTTCTACCTTCTGGAACGAATTAACGACGTATACCGAGGTTCCACTGTAATAATAATTACAATATATTATTATTGTCTATGTATTTACCAAATAGATGTTTAGCCATTGAAATGGTGTTTTGCAAATACAAATACATTACTTGTGCTGTTCGCATTGTTCAGTGCAGGTGAGGCAGACTTCACACGTTGAGCCGCTGTACGACGAATTCGTGCACTGGCATTTGTTGCATTTGCACACTCCCTGGCCATTGCACGTACGATTGTTGTACATGCAACCGTCAGTGGCCAGAGGGCATTCACATCGATTGCCATGAAAGCCCGGGAAGCACTGGCACTTTCCGCAGACGCATTCGCCGTTTCCTGAAAAAAGAATTAGTGCATCAATACACTTCAAAGGCGTCTTGCGTGACAAAAAGTGCACGCTGGTACAGAAAGGTTAAAGTGACGTGTGCACGAATGAGTCGGTCAAAGGCAAAGCAGAAAAAAAGAGAAACGAGGAAATGGAGGAGGATTTTGACCAAAGTTTCCGAGGTGTTTTTGTTCAAACGAAATTATCGCACGTATTTGTACTGCTTTGCATAATTCCATGCAAGTGTTTTTATAGTGTCCGATAGTTCTTTAATAATATCTATAAAACACACAAATTAGTTTATATATGTATATAATGTCTCTACGTTGATAAGCTCCACAGCAAACATATATTTGTGGTCTCAATTGAAAGGTATTGTCTTGTTTTGGAAATACCCAATTTCATGTTTTTATTCAATTAAATGTGCTGGAGACCCACAAATAAATCCCAACAGCACACGAGTAAGTATCCAATTCAGCTGTGCCCAATGGGTTGGACTGACTGAGGTGATTTAAATATACATCACCTGTGCCCTCCACCGTGCCAACTGGCAATTTGTATGTATGTTGAACTTCTGTTGCACCATGTAATTGAGGCGGGAGAGGGGTGGGTGTGGGTTAGAGTGATAGAAGATACTAGTGCCACGACATCTCACCTCCACAGAGCTTATTGTCATAACGCTCACAGTTGAAGTTGTTGCAGTGGCAGTACTTTCCGTCCACCTTCTCCTGAGGATCTTCACGCACGTTGCAGACACATTTGCCACAGACGCAGTCTCCTTGTCCACTGCACAACTGCGAGCTGTTGTCAGGCCGGCACTGAGCCTCCAGAGCTATTGTGTCACCGCCCTTCGCTCGGCAATCACACAAACGGCCAATTCGGTCCTGATGGCAACTGCTCATGACACACAAAATACGTGGTTAGGCACTACAAAACTTTCCATTGTGCAACTCTTTTCTCCGAAAGTAGTCATTTACACATTGGCAAGAACTGTCTATTTATATAAAGAGGGATATTAGACCTCAGCTTAAGCTTTATATATATCCTAAGAACAATAAACAACTACATGACACTAAGATACAAAATAGGTTGCCCCTAACCAGAATCAGAATCTATATTTATCCTGGAGAAATCAGATGAGCCATGAAGCTCGTTTACACAGATGTCCCCTCCTAATCCAGCATATCACAGAAGCATTGCAGCCTCCCATCGTAGTTGGTTATTGGTGCTCGCCAATCGTCCAGACTCCATTTATCCACTGGCCCCGTGGTTCTTAGGGTATATTAAGGACTTGACATGATCACTTCTGGGTAACTCTTTTTAAAGATGAAAACAAATCACGAATAACACAGCTGAGGCCCAACGCTTAACGAGTTACAAACAGGAGGGTCATAAGGGTAGCTCCACTGTATTTTGGAGGAAGTGTTAAGTCATGTTCAGAACCTTTACAATCTCACCTGCAAACACCGCACTCCAAATTGCCGTTGCCATTGGAGCAATACGGTGCATTTTTGGTCGAATCATTGCAGTTACATTGGCATTCAAAGCTCAGCTTCACACTCAGCTTCTCTTGAAAGCCCAATGAGCGGATCTCAAACTCCACCTCTGTATCCTTTGGACACTCTTTTGCTTCCACAGCGACGGTGAAAAGGATCTGGAAAAAAAAATACAAAACGACATACCAAGTGTGATGTGATGAGGCACACCGATGCAAGGAAAAACATCTGAAATGGCCACTTTCGAAATAAAATACACAAATTATCCCGTTTGTGGCAGCACTTGGCTATGTGTGCGGCCCATATAGCAGGCCGCACACATAGGCTATATGGGCCGCTATGCCCCTGTATCTGTGTAGTGACATTGAATGAGTCACTGTAGCACGTGGCGCTGGGAGAAAATTGTAGAAAATGGAATTAGGAGTAGCAGCCCGTTCTACCAGTTGGACCTGTGGGCCAAGCCCAGAGCCTTCTGGGGGATTCAGAAGGGTGCGTGGCTGAGGGCGGGGCCTGGCCATGCTGGGGAGAATAAAAGGCGAGCTCAGACTCACTCAGGGCTGCTGCCATCGGCAATGGAACTCGTCATGCTGATGTCATCGTGGTCTTCACTTCTTCAAGCTGTGGGTCTAGAAGCATGTTGGCTATCCCGACCCGGTATAGAGTTATCCCCTATGGCTGTGAGAGTTGGAATAAACAAGAGGGATAACGCCTCCTACTAATGTCTCTGAATTAGTACACTACGCCTGTACCATACCAGTTCTGTTGTAATGTGCACTAATGCCTACTTTATTGAGGGAGATATTGGCACGTAAACAAATATTGATTTGATTGATATAAACGAAACTATTTTTATTTTACCAGGTAAGGCTCACTCAATATATAGCTCGTTTTCAGAAGTGACATGACCACAAATGGTAGCTCAACCTAGGGGTAATGCATAGCAGCCAACTACTCTAAGTACCCGTTCCTAAATGTGGAGGGAAAGATTAGAGGACCCTGAGAAAAATCCATGCGACCACGGGGTGAACATGCAAACCCCAAATATACAGGCATCATCATGGTCGGGATCGAACCCACGACCTCCTGTATACCAGGCGAGGCAGTTAAGACCTTGCCACCGTGTCGCCCATTCCTGTTTCTCTGGTGCCCATATATCCTATGTTCTTGCAGCGGTGGTCATTCCAGATTTTAACTAACAACCCTTTGTCAGTTGATGGTCCAGCAGTGGACACTATCCATATTCACATCAGGGTTTATTAACAGTGGCTGTCCAGTGGATAGTTTGACCCCACAGTAGAATTATGAAACTACCACCATTGCTTGGCTCAAAATTTCAGAAAAAATGAACACTGGCCCATACTCACTTTGACAAAGTTATTTTTTATGCAAATTTCATTGGCACCCCATCCTCTGCAGTATCTATTGCTGTGATTATCTGGGACACGAGAAGGCACAAACTACAAACCTGTTTTTCCACAGGTAGATTAAGACATCTGAAGATAATAACCATGTGAAAACAAACTATAGTAAGTCACTTTGTTCCTACCTAAGCGTAACACTGGATATTAAAAGTATGCAAAAAATAAAATAAAAAAGTAACGTTGCGTATAACACAAAAATGTGTGCACGTATGTTGAACTTCTTTCGCACCGTACATAGCCAACCGTGCTAATCGGAGGTGCCGGAAAATGAGCAGGTCTGAGACAGAAGTAGCAATGTGTTGAATGTGTTGAGTGACGGTGTCAACTTGTACCTCTGTTCCAATCTTGACTTCTGAACACTCTCCTTTCTGTGTTTCCTTTTCCTTGTTATTGCAGTGCGACACAAAGGACACACTCACTCCTTCTGGCACTCTGGATGGCTCTAAGATGATCTTGGAGGACAGGTTCTGTTGGGAAGTAAAATGTTCTCGTTATAAGCCACACCAGGCAGATGGTGTAATTTTAACTGGGGCAATTTTGTTATACAGTATTGTATATAAAATAGGTGAATTCCACAAAAATATAATGAAAGCATGGGACATACCATTTTTTTTAAACATAATCATTATTTTGTCCTTGAGAGTTTTTCTTAATATATTCTTACACAGCAAGTTTGGAGAGCATTTACACGCAGCTGCAGCGGCTCAAGACGCTCGACATAAGTACGTATGTATTTTGAACTTCTTTCACACCGTACGTAGCCAACCGTGCAAATTAGACGGCAAGCCACGGAACAACGTGAGATGTATGCCCTCGTAAACATGTCGTAGGCCGAGGAGATGATAAAGCCTTGGGCCTAAAATTAAACATGGTCGAGGATAGCCATGAGGAAGAAACTGCAGGCTGTGGGAACAGCAACACAGAAGGAGCAAACTCCCATTGAGCGAAGGTTGACCGAAGGCTTCGAAAGAAGGCTCAATCGCCAGAGTGAATAGCATGTAGGGTAGTCGAGTGATTTGAGAGGGAAGAGGTCGGCAGGGATGACTCCACGGAGGATCTTGAAGATGGTGAAGGATTCACTATGAGACATCTCCTTTACCAGTGGCAAAATATAGTAATAGGTTTTTACCCTTTCAACTGGTACAAAAACTGACACCTTTATACAAGGCATCATGTTTGCAATAACCACAACACAAGCAGTCAAAATGCAAACAAAAAGAAACAACTCTGATGATGATAATGATATGCACTGTCATTGAAGTTGATTGGGCCACACCCGAGACAGCTTTTCTTAGAGCCTAGTCTCCATTGGTGTTGGACCAGATGTCAAAACTGACACCTTGTATAAAGGTGTCAGTTTTTGTACCAGTTGAAAGGGTAAAAACCTATTACTATATTTTGCCACTGGTAAAGGAGGTCTCATAGTGTAAATGCTTACCCCGAGCTCTCAATACTCTGATAGTGCGCTGTCTTTGAGTTGTACGCCTTTTGGCGTCATCTGGTCCAACACCAATGGAGACTAGGCTCTAAGAGAAGCTGTCTCGGGTGTGGACCAATCAACTTCAATGACAGTGCATATCATTATCATCATCAGAGTTGTTTCTTTTTGTTTGCATTTTGACTGCTTGTGTTGTGGTTATTGCAAACATGATGCCTTGTATAAAGGTGTCAGTTTTTGTACCAGTTGAAAGGGTAAAAACCTATTGCTATGGCGAGGGATTGTGTTCGGAGACAGCGGATAGATTTTTTCCATTGAGGTGATGCCGGGTTCGTGAATGCTGGTGAGAAGTCTTGCAGCGGCGTTCTGGATTGCTTGTAGAAGAGGGATTTGGAGATTCCACAGAGGAAACAATTGCAGTTGTCAAGGCAAGAGGTGATGTCATGCATGTGTAGAGGTGTAATTGTGCATGGCCACGGATGGCTAACAAACACAAGGGGCGGGGTTACGGCCGTACACAGGGGAGGCGCTCGCACCGACGTCCGCACCTGCATCCCCCACGGGCCCCCCCGGGGGCCGAGTCCTATAAAAGGTGGTGAGCCGGAGGGCTCGAGGTCGGGGATCAGCTTTAACCAGAGAAGAAGGAAGACCTGCTAGAATAGGCCCCAGAGCTCCCCTGGCTCGCTGTCCTTATAAGGGCCGACCAGGGCAAGCTGGTGGCGTGGCCCCGAGAGCCCAGACTGACGAGCCGGTCTGGAGACTCAGGGTGCCGGGATCCCAGCTTGACCAGGCTGGGATAGGTAGCCTCCCCTAGCTCCGTAGTGGAGGACTTGGGCGTAGGTTAGCGGGGTTAGCTGTTGTGTATCCCTGTAGCTAAGTGAAGGGGACGATACCCCCGTAAGTACTGTGTGTGCACAAGTTGGTGTAATAAATAAGTGTGCCTCCGACCCTGTCGTCAAGCCTCCTACATACTTACTACACATGGATAAGGTCTCAGCAGCGAATGGGTCAAGTAAGTGGCAGATGTATGAGATGTATCGCAGCTGGAGGTTGAAGGTCATACGTGATTGGAATATATACACGTGCCAAATGTATTCAACGTTTCGGTACATTGTAAAGTGTAATTGTAGCAAACCATACGTTGTAAGCCGAAGTGATGAGCTGTATAACATTACTTGAATCTCCAGAGAGCTCCCCGACAGCTGACTTGGGAATGAGTTGGCTGAGTTCCTGCAGAGCACACATGTCTTTACACACGCAGTTTGCATTTACATTGACATTTAAAAGTGGAAGGGCTTTGTTTTTATGTTGATGAAGTTGTGTGGACTTGTGGACTATTTTCCTGCATTAAATGTTACATTTTTCCAATGATTTTATAAAATGTAAAAGTAACCTACAAAATTTGTTTCCTGGAAGTTTATATACATGTACGTAACGTTTCTCAATCCACTGCTGGATGAGGGCACCCCTCGCCACGAAAGTCGTGGGTGTTATTTGACCATAATTTACTACTCTGGTTAGTGAGGGTTGGTGAAGGCCAGGAGCATAGACACAGGAGGATCGAAGTACAGTACAACATCGGATTTTGCTGCACTGCCTTCTGCTGTCCGTCACGTAGCTCAACCCCGGAGCCACCTACGCCAAACTGGCATCCATAGTGGTCACTATCGCACAAACTCCTGTCATCCTCACAGCAGATTTTGGCTAACCATCAAACAAAGATGGCCACTGCATCGCGAGCTTCCAGATGCACTTCTGCGGCCATCTGGAACGCTCTTCCTTTAGATATTAGGAAGCCACTGGAGAATTGCGCATTTAAATCTAAATTTTAAATTAATTTCTTTAAAACTGATCATTGTGTTTAGATTTCTTGTCCTTCCCCCGCACCTCTGATAAGCATGGTTAGCTACGTGCGGTGAAAAAGAAGTTCAACATACACACATACCATCCGATCACTGAACCCGATTCATCTCAAATACTGTATGCTTAGGTATAATCCAGGAGAGATGTGTGTGAAAAATATAAGCTGCTTTGTGAATTGTTGTGGGTCTGACAGGCAGTGATGGAACTTTTGTTGTTTGGCGATCTCAGATCCTCTGTTTTTAATTGAGATTTACGACAAAGATGAATACTACACACGAGTGAATGGATTTGAAGCAAGTTTTTTTTTCATCCTTTACAAAGGGAGGTGCACATTCATCAGAGAAAAATCTACAAGACATCACACGGCATTAATATAAGTCAACTGAATTAGGGAGGTTTACTTGCTGGATGAGATAGCACACATTAGAGCAATGCACAGTGATCTATCATGGCACCAAACCAGGGATGATATAATGATCTAAAAATATCCAAAACATATTATAGATTTGAGATGCTATTGGCTGTATGCAATTAGGTATAACTCACAAGAACTTAATACGGGGATGGCTATTGACAGATTAGTGATTTAACAAGACGGAAGATATGCAACACTAGATTCCAAATGTAAAACTCAAATTTGTGAGTCCACTCACCCGATAGATGTTCACCACACTTTTTGTTACGGCAAATATCGGCTGAATATTATTCTCTGATAATTTCTGAGCCAGCTGCCCAACGGAGGGATAATCCTGCACAGGGAAAACACAAACAGGGCATTACGTGTCTTATTTTGAGTTAAATGTTTGCACATCGTATGACAATATATATCTGCACACATTCTAAAAACATGTAGATTTAAGGAATCCACATATATATTCTTGGTTGTTTCGGTAAAGTCACGTAGAAGGGAAATAATAAAATAATAAAAATATTAAACAATAAAATTCTCACGATGTTTCGACTGATGATGATTGATTGTGTTGCAGTCGAAACGTCGTGAGAATTCGATTGTTTAATATTTTTATTATTTGATTATTTCCCTTCTACGTGACTTTACCGAAAGAACCAAGAATATGGATCAGTGTAGTCACGAAAGCTTTTAATCAGAATCCACATATGCCTTTATCCGAAATACAGCACATTATGATTCTATACAGTACATGGCATAGTGATAGATTTGGTGTGTGATTGTGTGTCTATTGAAACCAGGAGAACGCTTTCGTTGAATCAGCGGTCAGGTCAAGTGTCCCCCTGCTTAAATGCACGTGTGAGTGCAACTATTGGCAGCCTTAGAACACTGAGTTGTCTTTCAACTGAGTGAGATACTCATTGTATTTGATCGTGAAAGGAGGGTGAAGTGAATCCACACCCGATCTAGAAGTGAATGTTTCACTACCATTCTAATAAAGGGCTGGGCTGGGGTTTTTTGAACGAAAGAGCACAGATTTTTCTGTATTAAACAAATCATTCGGTAATAATGCTGCGTTGGTAATGGCACAAAAGTACAAATAATAAACACTCAACACATTCGCCAATAACATTTCCTTTAAAGGAAAAAATATATAATAGGCAACACGTACAGTATGACGTCGTATTTCATATATATTTTTATTTTAAGGCGGTGTTATTGATGTATGTCTTGTGTTTTATTAGTATACATTATTATGTAGCGCTCGCTCACAATTCAGTAATTGTTGTGAGTGTGCTGTACAATGTTGGGAAAAGAGATAATTACCGTGTGATAGGTTGGCATGGCACAGATGCCCCCCCCCCAACACAAACGAGTACCCAGGTAAGTGGGCCGTATGTGCATCGACGACTCAGCAGTGATGTCGGGGCACTTACCCTCTGGTGTGTGGCGAGGTGTGTGGGCAGGTGGAGCGGTGGCGCAGCGGTGAACACACTGCGCTACGAACCCGGCCACCCGAGTTCGATTCCCATTCACGGCCAATACTGGTGACGATTATCTGAATCGGTCCCGGGTCTTCCCTAGGTCGACTCAGCCTCAAATGAGTACCTGATGCGATGTGTGTGCTGTGCCAGCCTTCATAGGTGCTCACTAACAGCACTTGCCCCTACAGTATGTTGAGAATATGGGGGGGATCTTTATCCTTGGGCAGATGAAGCGGTGGTGCGTAAATTACCCAGGAATGCCTCACTGAGTCTCAACTCTTCTTCAAGAGGGTCCTGCCGAGTGTTTACAATCGGGGGCGATATTGCTGTTGCTGCTGCTGTGTAATTCCAATTGAGTAATGTGCAGGCAATTTTTCAGTATTGGTATGTTTGGCCAATACCAGTTACACTGAGTGTTTATTTTTGCTATGTGAGGAAACTGGAGAACCCTGAGGAACCCATGCAGAGCAGGAAGAGTTAGCATGCAGACTCCACACAGAGAGGCAACCGAGTCGGGAATCGAACCCAGGTCCTTTTTGCTGTGAGGCACAAGGGTTACCACTGCCGACCCCAAATTGATGACATGAATGAGATCATGTGAATGACCCAAGCTAGATTCCTTCCTTCTGTAGCCACCAATTGGCTTCATCTGTTCTACTCACGTAATGGATATTGTCTTTATATTCTCCATCGGGATCCAGATGGCAATTGCCATCATTGGGAGTGACAATCCCAGCCAGTTTGCCATCTCCAGCAAAGTGGAATCCAGCATCCGACGTGAACACCAGCAGTCTTGTGTTGTTTCTCCATCCGATTTTGTCCTGTGAATCATCAAGAGTGGATTAGCAACATTTGATTGGGTCTCACTGCATTTGGAAGACGTCCAGGGATATTCTCATGTTAACTGTTTACAATTTTACATCTCACACAAACGTCTACTCTCTCTCAAGTTATTTGTTACATGTAAAACGACCAACACAACACACTGATTAATTTAGGCCAATTGTACATTCAAGTATTTTTAAATGAATTAAATTTGGCAAAAAACACCCTGGTCAATTGTTCAAATATACAATATTAAGCTTTCCTTTGGATTCATTGATGTAACAAATCCCTCATCTGAGAAAAAATATTTGTTGCCTTATGCTGCATTTTAGAATGTCACTTCTTTGGTGTAAATCTAAGATAAGAATTAACTTCAAAAGGAATGCATGATTCTTTCAGACATTGTCACTTTAAGAAAGTGTTAGAATGTCCATACATATTTTCTGAATCAAAAAGGGTATTTACTCAAGATATGTGAATATAATCTACAAGGAAAAGAAAAATAATTTGCGATTGCAATAAAGTACAAATAATGTAATTTTGAAAAAGAAAATAGCAAAGACTCTCATGGTGATGAAAACTGGGCACAAGTTCCAGCCAACAGCCATCGTATTTGCTAGCTGTTGGCTATGATAACTAAAAATATGAGATTAGACTTTGGAATAAATTTCCTTGAGCCCAAAATTTTATAGAATGATGGAATACTTTCTACCGAGTTGTAACCAAAAAGCACCCATTATTTTAAATATAACTGTATGGATTCAAGACCAATGTTGTATTGTTGTCTAATTGTTGTTTTACACAATTAAAACACAATATGTTTTTATTCAAGCCAGTGAAATGTGGCTTGCCGTTGAGTTTCACGAAAGGCTATTGCCAATTGTTCCCCATCATTGCACGCTCTTACCCCACACACAGCTGCCTGCAGCATTGCATCAAATCCTCCCTCTGGCGTGTCCAGATTACCAGAGATGATCTGGTCTCCGACCTTTTTTTCAAAAATGTCAGATTTGTCAGTGAGAGTCAGCACATGCTTGTAGGCAAATGGCCGACTGCAGCGTACATTCTTCTCCGTACACGGGTGCTCCAAATGCTCAGGGCTGGTGCTGACATATGGCAACACCGTCTTATCCACAAATGCTCCAAATCCTGGGTGTGAAGATCGCAAACCACATGCAATTGGTTATTCATTTTAACATTGTCAACAGGAAAATATATGTAAATTTGTACAACAATGATCATTTTATTAGACATAATGGCTCGTGGCTGGTAGAGACACTAGAAAATGCGGGTCAATTTAGTCAGAGCAAGTGTGACATTTTATTGCTTGGTGTGAAGCATTATTGGCAAATGCTTTTTTTAAGTGACACAAAGAGTGACCAGAACACTAGACATAATCCTTGTGGAAACACAAATAAGCGAATCTCTGAAAATTGTAATATTAGTCCAAAGTGACTGCTCTCTGTACCTTTTGGAAATATTGAGGTCCGTGATGTATGAGTAGGTGCAATAAGAGATGTAACGTCACTATTGCCCTTGGAGCTTTGGGAAGCAGTGGAGTATTAAGAGTAATGTTTACGTAGGAATGAGAAATGTAATCGGATCTCATTAGAGAGCGTTTTTAGCCCACTTCAGATGGTGTCCGTGCCATTACCGCGTGTGGGACGACGTGGTGAAAAAGTGGACACAAGGACAGTGTGGGACAGTGATTAAAATGGGAGTGGCACACACAGACCACTGGACATATGTGGAGTGAGAGGTGGGCACAGATACATGGAGTAGCAGAGAGAGAGAGAGAAGTGGGGACACAGCAGGGAGGTACATGGAGTGTCAGAGAGAGAGAGAGAGAAGTGGAGGCAGTGCAAGGATTCAGTACATCACTACAGGTCACGATTCATGTCGCAACAAACACCAATGTTTGGAAAACATCCCGAGCATAGAAAAGAGATGGAACAGGTACTGTATTTAAAATATATATAGTATGTGATGGAGATGGAATTATTTATATGTGTAGCAATATATTTGGTGTAGAGCTCTTACAGGAAAATTTAACATTGTGGTCATGGTGATATTTTTGGAGCTAAAACAGATAACAGAAGTGGGAAAACGCTAAAGAGAGACGATAACAATGGGGGTTCCCTGTATTATCAACGTATATGTATTCTTACAAAAGCCTTTAGATTTTTTTAAAGTAATTACTATATTGTTAGGCGTATTTCCCACTGTGTTACTCAGTAAATCAATTCATGCAGTGAATAAATAAACACGCGTGTCCTTATTCAATACGAACCTTTGTGAATTTGCTACCGTAGGCAAAAGGCTTGTAAATTAAAATGCGATTTAGTTTTCCGATCGACTTTTGACCAAAACATTCTTGCAAACATACAGTTGAAAGCGTGTTGTAAAAAATATATATTCAACTCAACATTAACCCTACAACTCGCACGCCACATGGAAAAGTGTGGGGGTACGCAATGCACCTAATTTTTGTATCCTGTACCTCCGATTAGCACGGTATGATTACGTACGGCGCGAAATAAGTTAAATTCACAGTGCACACATACACACAAGTACCTATTTTGACGCCTTTCGTAATTTTCCCCAAAGACTGCAGCAGTTGACTTCCCAGCTTCTTCACGTTCTCGAGATCGTCATTCATGGAGTACGACAGGTCCATGAGGTAGTACAGATCAATGGGATATCCTTCTGCACGTTTGAACTTAATATCAAACTTCGTAGGAATGCCTGCGCAAGGAACAGCAAGTCGTGACACTGCATGAATACGGATTATTATTGTTGTTACACTTGTTAACTCAGGAGAGACTCACTGTGTCTCAAGACTCTTTTTTTAGTGAACACCTCTCAGAATTTTTATTTTTCCTTGGAGGAATCCGATGAGCTATAAAGCTCTTTTTCGCTGATGTCCAGTAATAGGAGGGTCCTGCCAAGTTATCTCAGTTGGGGTTCATGTTGCTCATGCCGTGTGCAATCCCAATTGAGTAATTCGCAGGTTATCTTTCACCATTGGGATGTTTGGCCAATACCAGTTACATTGTACGAGTATGTGTTTTTTTTTGTTTAGCTATGGGGGGAGGGGGGGGGAACTAGAGAACCCAGAGGGAACCCATGCTGAACAAGGGGAGAGAATACAGAACTCCACGGAGAAAGGGCCCTCAAGTTGGGACACGAACTCAATTTCCGGTTCACTTCTTCTCGTCCACACAAAGGCTTGGGTACTTTTCATGGTGACTGCTGTAGATATACCGTACAGTACAATCGATTATAATCGAACATTTTAGATTGGCAAAGAGTGATATTTTCAATAAATAGCGGCCATTGTGGAAGATAATATCAATGAAGGCGGGTGAGTGGTTTTTGGTTACTGAGTTTATCCACTTATCAAAATTCATTACCTATTCTAATGTTAGGGGTACCACCAGGATTTTGCTGCAGTTTTGCAAGTGACGAGCGCCGATGATGACTGCCTCGATGGTTTAGCCACACCACGGCAGAGAGTATTTCAAATGTCACACTTGTTACAATTTCATTGCAACGATCCCTCTAGAGTTTTAACATCATTTTCACGAATGTTATCAGCGGCCATTCGTGTGTGAACGTAGGAAGCACCAGACTCCTACCCGTTGAAGGTAAAGACTGCAGTAAACGTGGAACGTTGGGTCAGCAGTGCACGTTTACTGTGAGAGGCTCATGAGATGATTGGCATTAAAGTATAAAATACTCCGTGGGTTGCAGATGGGAAGGTTATTTTGTGAGTGCGAGTGAGATATCCCCTTGGTGGTGGTTGTCATGGCAATGCTTTGATGTCTCACCTGGTCTCAGATTTATGTGCACCTTCTGTGGGGACAGCTGCACCACCGTCTTGGATTCCATACCAGTGCTTGTGAGAGGTTCATTTTGTAGTACAGAAAACGATCCCTTGGGGTTCGTGATATCATTCGCCTCACAGCCCCGGGCCTTCAGAGCTTCCACTGTTGCACAGCGCACAGAATCCAGCTCGCCATCACGAGTAAAATTCTGTTCAAAACGAAAAAATATAAATATACAGTATCCATAAGAGTTTACAGTTATGTAGTACCCTAAAAGGTTTTAGGCCACATTAAGGTGGAATTATTCTACTAAATATTGTGAAACATGGAGGGTTAGAAGTGGTATACAGTATTCGCTACGTAAATATAATTTGTGTAACTTTAAAGACCTTAGGGGAATATGATATTGATGCTTTTAAGACAGGATTGAGGTCGGCACGGCACACAGGCTAGCAACCACGTGGCTACAGCACTTGGTTGTCTTAGTCTCACAGCGCTGATGTTCATACACAGCACTGCGTACTAGTTTAAGGCTGAGGTGACCGAGAAAAACAACCAGGATGGGTGCATATACCGCAAATAAAACATTTATGCGTTTGACCGGGTGAGAACTCCATGCGTCTGATGTTGTTCGTGACCATAAATTGGACCCAGATTTAAGTAAGTGAGATAGGTCAGTGGCAGTGGCTTTTGGTAATTTTTTTGGTGGGTAGGTGGTGGTTCCGGCACCTCAGCTGGAGGAGGGGGTTGGGGATTGGAGGAGGCCATTGCATGGGGTTGTCCGTATGAAATTGACAATGGATTGGCATATTCTTAGGGGCCTTCCATTTAGTACGTACGCATGGAGGGGAGAGGGGGGTTGACCCAAATGCGTACGCTTGCGTATGGGGGGTCTACTCACAATGTACGTACGCATAGGAAATGGGTGGAGGGGGTGAAGCCTCGATAATTATTTGTCTACATTGGTCTTCAAGTGAGTTAGATAGTCCAGCGGTGGACTATTTGTTTGCTTAAACACGTTAATATTATTAATCCTTGATCGTTTCTGCGTGGATTAAATATCGGCCATTCTATAGGATTCGGAGGCGGGGTGCGTCAAGCGTACGTACGCAGGTGGGGGGTGGGGGTGTAAAAAGTACGCGTGCGTACAGGGAGGGGGGGAGGGCTCAAGTTTTGACAGATTTTTGCATAACTACTCAATGGATGGCCACTTATTGGTCTGGGATGGAATTATCTGTGCCCCTTTTTCATGCAGTTATATATATATATATATTTATTTTACATGTGGCACTCAGTGGGGGTTGTGGAAATAAGCAACTCATTGGAGTAGACAAACTGAGCATCCCGTTCTATTCACCACTTCCTTTGCTAAACATTAAACATGGTTTTAAATTGTTCATATATATTAAAACATACTTTTTAATTTACAAGCATATTTTTAAAGAAAACGTTCAGGTGGGGCACCACTCCCAATGCTCCACACGGACCAGCCCGCCGCTGATCAATGGACCAACAGCCATGTGACTTGGTCATGCAAGGGTGCAACCAATAGGGAGACTTTTTCCTAAATTTCTGTGTCACTTCTCATCCACACAAAGGCTCGGTAATATAATATATTGCACATTGAACGTGGAAAGGTGGACAGATTGCGAGCATTCCCACCACAATACGTACAGAGGTGCACGAGCTAATCCTCTCATCACTTGAGTTTCGATAACAGTTGCAAATTTAACTTTATTAATGTTAGCCCATATTAACAATGCGCCTGAAATGTAAACCGTATCATTTGTAACCCACTATTTCTCGCTCCGTGGCTCAAATTCCATTCAGCAGCTGTAGGTCATCATTTTGTCAGCGATTTGCAGATTGGATGAGTCACGTGGTAAATTAATCTTGTTGCCTTTAATATCATGGACTTTTTTTAAAATCTTGCATTCCATCTCAAATGACACATTTTACAACATGGACAAACCGGGACACTTGGTAATTTAATCCAAGTACTCAAACAATGAATAACATTGCGGAGGGTATTTTGAGGAAATTTAGTGGGAGCATGTCACATGGTGTATGAATAATTCACTTTTAATAAATGTGTCGTGGGTTCCACGAAGACACACACTTGAACTTGGAGGCAACACGTTAATTGATACACCCCGACAGGGTAACTGCATTAACGTACGGGATAACAACATAGGTGGTGACTACCATGTGTAACTAAGACCACAACGGGGTAACTACACTACAAGGAGATAACTGGATCCTACCAGAAGGTTCTAGGCTGCATGTCCTGCTCGCCCCCCTCGGGCCCCCCTCGCTACCTTGTCCTGGTCACGTGCCCTCTCGGGTTCACCCAGAGCAGGGGTCGGCAACCAAAATAACAAGAAGAGCCATTTCTTTCCAATTCGGTACAAAATTCTGTATTTCAAGAGCCGCAATGCATCTGAGTACATACGTACATATCGTCAAGAAGCAGCCCGTAAAGAGCCGCATGCGGCTCCGGAGCCGTAGGTTGCCGACCCCTGACCCAGAGTATCATGTCCTGGTGTGCCCTCTCTCTGCCCGTTACCTGAACCATGCCCCCTAGGGGCTCCTTCCATGGCATATACACCCTGGTGCCAGAGAGAGGCTCTAACACGCGTAGTTCCTTTTTATTCTCAATAGCTGGCGCTAAGCGCCGTAGTGACTCAATATACGTCACTACAAATGTACGTATCGATATATGTCACAGTTTGTTCAGCAATCACTGTCCGCGAATAGAAAACTGCTCACGTAAATTCAAAGCTGTTCATATTCAACTCTCTTAAAAATGTGAACTCCAGTTACAAGTCAGTCAATCCCTCTGCCCTCTGTCTCTATTCTCAATACAAGGACCATTTTCAAAAAACCTCAGCCGACTACAGTATATTTGTGCCGTTACGAGTTAATAGTGAATGGGATTCGTGTTGCTGTGAGTTATGCATACCAGTGTCTTGCACCAGGCACAATATCCACCACTGGCGAGACAATCACTACATGTGACCACATTCTTGGGGACACATTTTCCTGCCGGTACACCTGCACACACATGTGATTCAAACAAGAACAGTAAATAATACAAATAACACAATTGTGTAAATTAAGTCAATCATAATACTAGTGTACATCACATTTATCATAATTCTATATATAGTCCGCCCACACTATAGCAACCTCCAGAATATGCGGTTGTGTAAATAGTTCACATAATATTTTGGTGCTTACAAGCATAGCACTTTCGTTCCACATATATGTATAAACCACATCGACACACACCATGGCAGATGCGGATTCATGATGGACCAAAGGAAACTAAATAAAAACTCGCCATTGCGTGACTGTGGTCAGACAAAACAGACTGTACAAAATATAACGACGCAATGCCCGATACACAAATACGAAGGAGACCATCACAGCAAATCACTCCGGTTATTATCTGGCTTGACCACCTGAATATGAAATTGTTATTGTTGCTCTGCGTCTACATCAGCAGCCATACGAAGGAAGAAGAACCACATATAAACGGTTCGCAAATACACAATAAGCACCGTATTGTACAGGAGTATATAACGTTGGTTTTACAATTTAAGTGCCACTTACTTGCATCTGCAGAACTGGCCAGACACAGTACTGCCACCCAAGCTACCCGCAGCCACATCCTCCTGGTCGTCAACCAAGTGAAAAATAAAAAAACATACGTAAGAAATTGAAACGTGTTTTTTTTAATGGGTGTAAGGGATTAGGTTATGCTTAAAACAATTAGTTCAAACATCGTATGTGTTCAATATGGACATCTGTGAGAAAAAAAAGCTTACTAGCTCATCGAATTTCTCCAGGACAAATACAAATTCTGATTATGTCCTTTCCCTGCACCTCCGATTAGCACGGTTGGCTACGGACGGTGCGAAAGAAGTTCCACATACATCTGTTTTGCTACGACACTAGTTCCATAATAAATGGCGGTACTAGGCAGGGAGACCATCATCCAATTAGGCATTCACAAAGGTGTGAACATGTACTCTATTAAACTGTTATTGTATGTCGAACTTCTTTTTCGCACCGTACGTAGCCCAAGCGTGCTCATTGGAGGTGTATTTCAACAGCCAGAATATGAAACATGCCAAACGTAATTCAAAGTGAATGTTTGATTTGCATGCGAATTCAGTAGTGTGTGTAAATTGTAGATGTTGTGCAGAGTACATAGCTTATTCCTGCTTTAATCACAATGGATTTGTAAAGTATATTGCAATACGTATTTTAAATAAGAGGAAGTTAAGAGTTTCAATTTAAAGGAACAAAAATATGTACATTGCTTATTTTTTAAGGCAAAACAATGTAAACAAGTTATACAATATGTAAAGGAGAAATATTATTGCAATACAACACTCCAAATGTCTATTTCCGAAAGATGCTTTTACTGCTGCGTTTAAAACAATTTTAATTAAGTTAATTCGGTACACCTACCTTTGGTTAAACGCCTTGCCGTAAGTTTCTGAACGTTGCGACGAACTACCGTATGAGGCACAGCCAACACAAAATCAAGTGGTTGTCAGGAACGATGACTTAAAAAATGGCAACTTGTAACACACCACCACAAGTGTCCGCTTACTCGCAAGAGGCAGAACAACTCAGAGGCACGATGAGGCACCACAGGATTGCGGAAGAAATTTCTGAGCAACAACTTTGTAACAAAAAAAAGCATGCAACGGGAAGTCTGCGTCACTACAGAAATTGCGGTATACTATGCATTATCAACAGGAAAGTGCGGTGTTTGGGCACGGCAGAAATATGGTGGACATTTTTTGCAGTGTTTGTTTATTGGTTTGCACTCTAACTTAAAACGTATTTAACCGACGTTACGATTCAATTAAAATCATTCCTCAAAAGGAATTTTCCAAGCGTTTCAATGTGGTACGCTTGGGGGAAAAAATACATCTCGAGATTTGGTGATGCTTTCCCGAGTAAAGGCCACTTTTTTTTAAAGCAGTGGCTTGTTTGGCCAAACAATCACCATGGTAAATTTCCTCTGCATTACACCCACAGCCCGATACAATCACAACACTGATTTTAAAGCATATACTGTCGTGCTTTTTACTCATTTTATACTTTTAACTGTGAACACACAACTCATTGATATCTCTATCGCCCACATCTCCATCCCTCCTTTACAGATATGATTGTTGTTGGCATTAGCCAAGCGAATGAGCCTCATGGTGTGGATGTGGGAACTTCACAATCTGTCTCTAGTCCCCAATGGCAGATGTGGCAGCAGTGAGCAACTCTGTGCTGATAAGCCGCAATGGGTATGAAACCCGTCCAGGGTTGTCGATCTCTGCATCACTGCTGCTGTAATCAGTCACATTTGCTTGCATTTATTTTGACGGTGAACGAAGTCAAGAGGACCACAATGCACTTCTTCAGGAAACGCTGATGGGTTTTTTATGTATGCAAGGAGGGTATGTTTTTATTAACACATTTCATATGCGTTGTTTGAAACTTCTGTCATGAGTAACTTTGTTGTTTTTAATCGGAATCACAACCCGCGTGTCCTTTGGACGTGACTGGCCATCCTTCACGGCCAGCCTGCAGTTGTATGCACGGCATCCAGGCAGACAGGAATCCACCCAGGATTACCATCCATAATTTGTTTTATATATAGTATGATACGATTAGGACTATAATAGGGGGCTCATACACAGACCATGGCTTGTGTTGATCATCAACAAACGGCAGGGAATTTGTACATGTGTAGTGACTGACTAAGAGACACTAAGAGTAGGAAGCACTCTGTTTATTAACAGCCTTAACAGTTCACACTTATTAACTAGCTCCCAGTCAGGACAGCTGGCAGACTGCCTGACTGACGACGCCAAGATGGTGAAGACGTAGATGGTGACGAAGACTCCAGCAGCACGATGGGATCCCACTCCAAACGACAGCCCCGAGCTCCTGCCTGGGCCCTTTTATCCTCCCAGCATGGCCTCGCTTTGTCCTGGCCACGCCCCCTTTCTAGAACCAACTAGCGGGTTCCCGGGCTTCCCTCACATGCCCCTTCTGTAACCTTTCTCCTACATCCCTCTCTCTGGTCTACCACGTGACCTGCTGTCAGTCAGGGCTGTTGTAACTGCAGATTCCCTTCTCTGCCAGCAACAAGCGCTATGCTGCTAAGTGACCGATCTATATCACTACACACGTATTAGTATACTGTACATACAATACTCACTCTTGAAACCTGTGCATATGGGACATTTTATAACAAAATTAATTTCCATGACAATACATCCTGCATCCGACAATGTGAGGCTCAACGTATAATAGTCAACAATTGTTACATTTGCTAGTTTGTTGGGTCTGCTGCGCCTTAGAAAAAACGTAAATAAATCACTTGTAAGAATTTCTGCTTGTTTTCAGAAATTACATTTCAAATGTGATTTTGTTTGCTTCCAGGAACTGCCATTTGGTCAAATATGTAAATTTTATTTCCTCTTGAGCGTGAGAAAAAGTCATGCTTAGTTGACCTAAGCATAATTGGAGAAACAGCCATAATATATTTTTCAATTTTTATAAATCTGTAAAGTGTATAATAGAACTGTTTTATTTGTTTTGAAATATAAAGAAACTGTCTCTCAACTTAAATTACGTGTAATTTGGAAAATATTCGTCGCAATGTGCCTTTGAACCAAAGGCATTCATTATATTGATTTGAAGCTTTCGTGACTGCAGGAATCCATACTCTTTGGTTCTTTCGGTAAAGTCACGTAGGTAGAACCAAAGAGTATTCATTATATTATTGGTCAGATCACAACGCACTCAATACGGGGAACCAAAGCTGCATTTATGGCAGTTGAGCATATTTGAGTATGGAGATTAAAACATTGGTTTATATTGCACCGTGCTCCTCTACCCACCTTCCCTACCCATTAATCATTACTCATCATCAACCCCTCATCGTCACTCTCGTCATCGTTTATATATCACGCATCATCATGTTCGTGTACGACCATCAACTCGTCTCATCTTTTCCTGTAAAATTGTTCAGTGCCATATTCAGGGCAATATATCAATTAAAGATGAGATCATGTGTCTGTCCTGTAAACGTTTACAAATATTTTGTCAGTGTGCCACTTAACACATACAGTAGTTCCTGTTTTCGAACTTGTGGTAGTATGTGTGTGTAATGTTCCATGTTGCTATTCTATTTAAATATCTGTTCTTTGACGACTTCATACCTGTTAACCCCTTATCAGCGCCGACCTTATTACAGACCAATTCAGACCTTACTGGCCATCCCGTGCCCTTCCTACAAAGCCATATTGAAACGGCTGTATGCCGTATGCACCTGAAAACTCAATTTCCCTGTACAAGAATGCAGGTAAACCGTATGGGTTGACCGGTATGAGAGTTCCACAAGAATACGTGTATTGCAGTAAACATTAAATAAAACAATGACTCACGAGCGCCAGCCACTGGTGGGAACAGCATGGAGCAAGACGTAATACAGCAACATGCACATTCAGTCGTACAATATTTTATATTTCATTCTAGATTTGAAGCTTTCGTGACTGCAAGGATTCATACTCTTAGTTCTTTCGGTAAAGTCACGTAGTTAAAAAATTACATTAAAATTAATAAGGCCGCAATGCCAAATAATTGCATTTACTTTGGTCTTTATAATTACAAAATGTGGTGGGCCAATATGTCATCGACTGCAGACACCTTGGCACTATTCTGTCCATACACTTCATAGGTCACAGAATTCATATCCGTGGTGATATCGCGGGGAGCAATATCGTGATTTTACTCCTGTTATCTGTGGAGTGAAAATCCACGAATAGGAAAAATAGGGCTGTGGATTACCGTACAGGAGTTTTCGTGGACCATACGGCTGGAGTCACGAGTAATAGGCCACGAATAAGAAGAGTATTCCTGTATTCCAAATTGTACCAAGAGTACAGTCTGTAGGCGCAGCTTTCTTGTACCAAAAAGGGGCCGTCCATAAATGACGTCACGCAATTTTGGCCGATTTTTGACCACCCCTTTCCCCCCTCGTCACAGGGCGTCACAAAAAGTCAGACCCACTTCAAATATGACGTCACAAAGCTCTGCCCCCCCCCCCCCCAAAACATATTTCCATTTTATAAATAAAACATGTTTCAAATCACTTTAAACTATTGTCATTGTACTGCGTATTTAATGTGGTGCTGTACTCTGATGTTGTAGGAGAAACATTTATTAAAAGGAGGCGTTGGAAAGCTGAAATTTAGCATAAAATTCACTTGAAAATATTCATCGTCTAACTAAAACTGCAGATGTTCAGAATATTATATTGAAATTATCTTATAATGATCAAATATTAAAAGTAATTATAACTATAAAAAATACTTGAAACTTTGTAGTAGAACGAAGCAAAATGGAGAGTACAATTATAACAATCACATATTCATTCCACAGAATGAAAAGCCCTGGTAGAATCATTAGAATCAAAATGTTTAATAACAATCATTCAAAAGATTTTCAAAATGTATGCTTCTCCATTCTCCCATGGAGAAGCAAAATGCTCCTTCATGGAATAAATAGGGAGAGCATAGATCTCTTCATCCTGTGGAATGGATATTCCATTCAGATCAAGCTATTCTTCGTCTATCCAATCTGCGCTCTCTCCATTTTCTTCGTTCGCGATTACAACCAGTTAGTTCACGTTGCCGACGTGCAGCGACTCTCTGTGGCCTGATGCGTTTGGGCAGAATAATAATTGATTCCTGCTTGTGTGTTACAGAGTGGCTGCGCAGCATGACTAACAACGCAAAGTATGTGTGACATTTCTTGCAAATCCTATCACTAAGCACGGTTTGTATTGACGGACAGTACAAGTCATATGGAATCGACCGATGAGGATTTGAAGAGCGAGAAAGGATGTCATCCACTTTCAAACTTTGTGCTGCAAACAGAGATGGGAATCTATGAGATGCCCCGTCTGGTGTTCGTTCTGGAATTTTAAGACCTTTGCTTGTTTGAACAACTTTTAAAGGAGGAGGAAAAAATCTCTGTTACCACACTAAAATAGGAACTTCTTGGTTTCAAACAGCACTTGTTGTCAGTGTATTTTACAATCTGTGTCAAGTATTGGCTTGTTCGTACGTGGATGTGGTACCATTTCTGATCTATGGACAAGAGGTTTCAGATCCTAGAGCTCAGACTGTTGGCTCGATGTATTCAGCCACTGTCGGAAAATTATCGACAATCAACTGTGATCAAATTTCGGCGAGACTGTTTCCTGTAAACTTAAAATTATTCTTCTCTAAATAAGCGTCGATGTTAATACCTCTTTCGTTCAAATGACTACCGTAGTGGTCATGTGGTAATATCAATCCAGTAAGTTCCTTACTGAGTGGCGCCACTTTTCTCTCGACCCTATTAAATGCGTTTCTTACTGGAGTGTTGGTAGCGAGGAATAAAGTGTCGAAATCGTGCTTGAGAAAGTGGTGGACTGCAACCTCACTTTTTGGTATCTCGGGCTCTCGTCCGGGCCACCATCAACTGTCGACACTAAAATTGGTTTGACCAATCGATCAAGACCACTCCTTGTAATGACGTAAAACTCCTCGAGAGTAAGCAATTTTTTTAAATCAAATCCATGGCTGAATGCTGTTGATGACGAGTGTTTTCCAGATCTGATTGCTATGTAGGTCGGTCCCAAAACACATTCCTGCGGAGGGAGCTGATAGGAACGTTGGGTTGCTCGGTCAATGGCCAGGGTCAACGGCGGCGTGGTGTATTCCGCAAATATGGCCGACTGTGAGGGCGGGCACAAGCCGGCGTGAGTAGGTTAAACGTTGAGTTTTATAAGGGCACCACGGGGTGACCAGCCCCTCCCCACCCAGCCCCACCCCTCCCAACCCTACCCAGCCCCACCCGACCCACCCAGCCCCTCCCCACCCTCCCCTCTCCACCCAGCTCCACCCGTCCCATTTTTGGATGCACGACGGATGGACGGACACAATAATCCCCTGTGGGCTGGTGTAACCAGGTTTCCTTCCAGTATGACCAACAGCTTCTCGGTTTCCTAGACCATGAGACTGAATTTGGATTACGGCATAGACCGAAGGAATTAGCTTGTGTCCTGCGGCCACAACCCAGTCATGGTCAGGCAGACAGACTCTGTACTTGACGTGCATCCGCAATGGACTTTGCTTGTTAGCAACGATCAACCCTATTGTAACATGAGCTTTGTCGTCTTGACTCACAAAGCACACATCGTTTGGTCCTAGCATGGACGTCAACTCTTCTAAGTGCCTTATTGTTGCCTACCAAAACAAACCGTCGATATGTTTGGCATGGTGCTCTAATGAGTTTCACAGGGACCGTTGACATATGACGCTGTCCTTCAAGAGATGAACTGCGCTTCAGCCAAAGACGAAGGTACAGCCCACTTCTACTGATTGTAAAGACATAAGGGGATTCCGTAGTTAAATAAAAAGATCATAAATGGTTAAATGCAGTCACTCATGGTTCATAGCAGGACAATGGCAAAAAGAAGCATGACGCCATTTTCTGGGTTCATGACATATATTTAGTAGGTACTCCATTATTAATTATCCCTCCATGCTCAAAAATGGCTGTTTGAGATCTTTGTACCCAAAAACTATTCTCTCTATATTATTATAAATGTTATCGTAACATAATAAAAATGTAATACTGAAATTATAAATGTATATTTAATAACCAAATGTGATTTAAAATTCTGTCGATTGATATGACAGGAATAATAGTACTTACGCTTTAAAAAATATTATTCGAAACTATGAAGCGTTTTTAATATAACGACTGCATTAAAATTGTATTTGCACTTCCTCTTCCTGACGAGGTATTATTTTCTATAAAAGTGCTGACGTAGTTTGACTTCTGGTTTTAATGTTTAACATAATATAATCTATACTATAAATAGTGAGCTTAATAAATTTAAATAATCAAAAAGTTGATAACGAAAATGTATCATTTTTTGACAATTCTAATTAAGTAGAACGTGTTGTTTATTTAAAGTTTCGCATTTTGATGTGACGTCACATTTCTCAACCCTCCCCTCCTCGTCACACATCGTCACAAATGTCTGACCCCCTCCCCCGCCCTAGGTGCATGACGTGATTTATGGACGGCCCCAAATAAGCTACGCCTTAACTTAAATGGAGCAATACGTCTGACGCGTGTTTGACGTGTCTTAAATAAATAAAAAACTGTTTCTTTATTTCTTAGTAGCACAAAATATTTCCAACGTTGTGTCGTCGTTTACTTTATCACGTTATCACACGGTCAAAGACTGTCCACTCACTCCATCGAGTTCTACTCCTGGCTTCCATTTTATACTGCCAGACCGGAAGTGACGTCATGGGTTCAACCAACGGAGCGTTTAACCAAGGGGGATACTGAAACAAAGTTGTAATATTTCAAGTCAAGTATGCGCAATCTTCAACAAATGTGACAGATGTAAATCAAATGTATACACATAAATAATACATTCACTTTCTGTCTTATGGCTCTTACACAGTCGTCTTTAGACATGTGTGTACCTCTCTACCGTATACATTTTTCAAGATCAGCATATCCGAGATGAACATGGCCAGGCATGCTGCTGATCTCATCTTTGCCTTGCGTGTGTGTGTGTGATAGAATAGGCTCAAACACCTTTTGGTGTGTGTGTCGTTGAATGTCAATGCTGATGACAGCCAACGATATAATCCTAGCAGGAGTCGTATCTAGGTCTTGTGTTCAAAGCCATTGGCCAGTTGTAGAATTGTTTTCCATTAACCGGCTCTAAACTAACAACAGAGTGGATTCATCCTCGGATTACTCCAGAATGAATACAGATTCTGAGATTATGTTGAGCACCCTTAGTCAGTGGTCAAAATTTAACTTTCCTATTCTAGGGGTCAGATCACAACCGTTGACTTCCCAACAAGTGGTGTTTTTTTTTTTAAATCAGGTAAAGCGAGGCCACAGCAGTGCAAATATGGCCATAAAACCAAGACTATGGACCAGATAGAACACCTATGTAGTCGGTGCTTCAACGGAGGAGGATAAATGGAAAAACTACGCGAAATATCTCCCGAAGCCGTCTCCTCGTGGCCAGCAGACCTCAACATTGGCATTTAGCTCGTGAACCATATTGCCATGACGAGCACAAACAGAATTGTGGGGTATCTATGAATGGATTGTAACTAATGACCCGACCGGTACAGTCACTGCCTCCTTCTGGTCTAAACAATTTGCAGCGGTAGCGTCCACTCAACACCCACCGACTGTTGAGAAGTCTTCTATGAATACAACCTAAACATGTAAATAAACCTCATGTATGATAATTGGTTCTTTACCCTTCTATCTGGCAACAAAACTGACACCTTTTTACAAGGAGTCATGTTTGCATAGACCGCAATACCTGCAGTCATAAATACAAACAAAAGACATAACTCTGATAATGTGCACTGTCCTTGAAGTTGATTGGTCAAAAGTACAAAACACATTCCTGCGGAGGGAGTGATAGGGAAACGTTGGGTGCCGGTCAAATGCCAGGGTCAACGGCGGGCGGGTGTAGTTCCGCAAATATGCCCGCGGTGAGGGCGGGAACAAGCCGGCGTGAGTAGGTAAACGTTGGCGTATAGCCCCCACCCTCCCAACACGGTGACCCCTCCCCACCCTCCCCTCCTCCACCCAGCCCCACCCTCCCCCACCCTCCCCTCCCTGCACGACGGACGGAGGGACATAATAATCATACTTCGGTTTTTTTCGGTAAAGTCAAGTAGGTAAAAAATAAATAATAAATATAAATAAAATAATAGAAATAAAATAATAAATCAGAATAATCCCCTGTGGGGTGGTGTAACCAGGAGGTTCCTACCAGGTAAAAATACTCCGATTGATTTGACTGGAGGAGATTAATTTACAAACAAAAAAACCTCTGACCTGGCACCGGAACCACTCCCCCCCCCCCCACTACTATGCGCGTTCCGGGGCCCCACGCGCGCCACGTGTTTCGCGAGGCCGGCGTGCTTCGTGAGTTTCGGAGCTCGTCAAGGGTCCCCCGGCGGTGAACGGCGAGTGGCGGCGGCTGTCGACGCTCGTCTGCGGCGATGGGCAAAGTGAAAAGGGCGCGGCAGAAGTTCCACCGGGCGGCCGGAAAGGATGGCGGTGGTGGCGGCGGCGGCGGTGACGAAGACTTATCGGTACTGCAGTCACGACACGCACCGCCATCGCGCAAGTAACCATGATGTTGCTGCTACTACCACCACCACCATCTCCCCCTTATAGCGTGGGCCTATGTAACAGCCCTTGAGATAATCCACTGCTGGAGGGGGTGGCCCTTCCAGAATCGGAGTCTTTGTTTATGCTGGGGGAATCCGCAGATGCCCTGTAGAGGTGGGTTCAGAACGTTACAGCAACAATCAATGCAGCAACACGATGGGGGAAAGGTAAAAACAATCTAAACAAACATTTATTTTCGTCTTGCCAGGTAAAGCCCACTGAGCTCTATTTTCTTAATTATCAGAAGCGACTTGGCCACATATCATAGCTCAACGAAGTGGCTTATCGCGTGGAAATGTATGTCAACAAAATACATCTTCCCACATCTTGGTCATGTGGGAGTTTTTTGGCCAGACGTAACGAACGCTGCTCCCAGTGCGGGTTCTCGAATCAGAATCTGTACTTACCCTGGAGAATCCGATGACCTATGAAGCTATATTTTCTACGTCCTGAAGGAGGTGGGGGGGAGGGTGGTGTAGACGAAGAAAGTACATTTGTTGATAAATGCGCTCTGAAATCTATCACTGTAGAGTAATCTCTTGTCAATGGTTTAAACATCGGAGCGCGAGACTCGCGAGGTGATCGCGAGTGGCCTAAATTCAACCCATCATCCGTCCAGGGGCGATAAAGTGAATGCATTAACATGCTCCTTTTACGCGACAAACCTTACTAATTGGCTGTGTCGGGTGGTGGCGGGTTTAACGACAACATTTATATTTACGCGATCTAATCCCCCCCCCCAAAAACATATTATGGACAATACAATACTTGAACAGTGTGCGTGTGTGGCTTTAATACATCCGATTAGCACGGTTGGCGACGTACGGTGCGAAAGAAGTTCAATAATAATACAATGCTACTGTGTTCCCGTGTGTTCAGCTGACCCCAGTGTCGGTGCTGGCCCAGATTAGCTCGCTCTTCTCGGCGACTGACGCAGATGATGGCAGCAAGCAGCAAGATACCAAAGATGACAGCAAGAGCGTTGTCTCCAGCAGAACGGGTCCGTGACCGCAGTTGCATTATTGTTCTGTTAGCGATGTTTTCAACGATGTTTGCAAGACCTAAGTTAAGCAAAATGGCATCTTCTCACTTCCCAACTCTTACTTGATATGTTACCAACTTGAATTACGGTAAAGTCCTAATATATGGGTTGATGTCTTACCGTAGCACATTTATGAGTTTTACATTACTGGACCTCTGTTAAAAAGAGCTTAATAGCTCATGGGATTCCTCCAGTATAAATAACATTCTGACATTTAGTGGTGGTCTAGTGACCATATAAATGGGTTTATGGTCACGTGGCTGGCATGCCCTGTTCCACATTCGGTCATTGTGTGACAATTCGTGGGACTTTTGCTCGGGGTTGATTTTCAGTGGCGTGGGAGGAAACCCTTATTCAGTCCAGTATACAGTATATATTATAGAAAGTCCAATACAAGATTGTTAACACGCAAATGAGTTTGGGTCAGTGCTCCACCTTGGTGGTTCTGATCTAGTGATCACAATTGCACATTGCTCTGGTCGGGTCCTGTTCATTTATCAAACAATTGCACACCCCATAAAGTGTTGCTTGTTTTGTTGATCCTCGAGGGATGATGACCTGATTTGACCCCGTGACAAGGAACTACCATATTAAACTTTCAATTGTGAGCTTTACAAGGCCATAATGCCCCGTGGCCACGTGGTGCTAGCTGTGTAGAGATTATATGGTTAATATCAGGCATCATCAGTGCACTGCTGGATGAAGGCCTCCCCACACCGTTGGTCATGGGTGTTGTTTGACCACACGGTATTTCACATCACGAGTGAGTTGCGGTTTGGTAGCGAGGGCGGGATGCCCAGGGCCAGTTCAGATATCATTCTCCACTGATGTTAACAGTGGCTGGAAATTGAATTCGGGCCTGCGAATTAGTGCACCTCCGCTGTACCCAAATAATATATAAAGCATATACCCACAATAGGTATGCAGTGTAAACAATAATTTTGCATCAGATTTTGACACGTAATGCCTACTTAAACAGCAACCGTTGTGTGTTTAAGCCATAGCAAACCATAATCGGGTGACAATCACGTGTCTGTAGGAGTGCTCCTACTTCTAAAGGCACGATGACCTCTGAGTCGAAGTGTAATTTCATTAGCGGGTTGTCATTGCTCGGCATACGTCCAGAGAAACGTGCAATTGGAGTGTCAGGGTCGTCTTCGGTGCTGACTGTGGAACAGCTTTTACTTAGCACTTGCAACTGGGGAGAGGAGTGCAAAGTCATTTTGAAATTGGTGTGAAGACCACCTTGACATCATTGGACAATGCAGTTTTTGTGATTGCTGGCTCGACCCACTGGAGGATTTCCTGTACAGTACATAGGTGTGCTGATAAGTATGTACATTCATAATACAGTTTACTAGATCTCAAAAGTGCAAACATTTGAGCGTTACACCACAATTTTAAAATAATTAGTGAATCAAATTGCATTTCCTGCAACTATTTTATATTGTACCAGCTCGAAAATGAAACAAATATGATCTGACTTTCAGGACATGACCTCGTGTTTTTTGGGTCACATTTTGGTCCATGCAGTATTGATGCAATCTTCCAAGCCAATTCCTTTTTGTTGCATAAATCAGATGTAATCTGTTTCAGAACCAAACAGAGAGTAGACCCATCACATTTATATTTGCACACCTCTGCAGAGTTGTCATGATACATGGTCCACATTTAACTTGCAATATATTAGTCTCACACCATGCACGATACAAATTACCATTGTAGTCCAGATAAAGATAAGACATATAGCTAAACCTGGAGTAAGCTTTCCCATGCTGATGTGTGCCATTGCATGCATATTCATGACAATGTTCTTGCATTGTTGATAGCATGTTATGGTTACTGTTTTTGTATCGCTTAATTGTCATTTTATAGACCTTGATGTTACATTGCTTGGGAAAGCAATGCACCACGTGTAATGTTTCAATGTTGGTATCCTACCTGCCAGTCGTGTGGAGAAATAAGGCAAACTCACTCAGTTAACCTAAAGCATAGCTGTGATCAGTTTAGTATTGTATTTGTGAAATTGCATGGAGAGAGTGGCACTTTTCCGAGATGTTGGCTTCAAGTTAATCTTCACAACTTTGATGGTTTGTTATTTTATGTTTATTAGCGTTTTTAATACGTGGTTGAGCGTATTTGTCACCTTGAAAAGTGTTGTAAAATTGTGACAATATACTTGCGACACTTATGTACGGGAAGACTGTGTGAACACTTTAAATTGAGTTCAGCAGCAGAAATCAGGATGAAGTGAAATGTTGCACAACTTAATCGAATCAATGAATTTTAAGAACCTATTCATAAAATCAGATTTAAATGACATGTCACCGTGGAGATTTCTTATTACTGTATTACTACGGGATTTATATTTCAAACATTTAAAAAATCTATTCAAAGTGTGACTTTGGAGAGTTTTTTGTTAAGTGCTTATAATATATGTCTCATAACATATGTAATTCCGTGTAAGACATTTCAAATTAATCTGGATATATATAAAACGCGCACATGTGTTTTGGGGGGTTTGTGTAATTGTGCATATGATGATTGTATTAAATTACGTAAGCAGTTGACCTTTGTGCTTCGTTATATGATGTCATCTGTTTCAGGTGAAAAGCTTCAGATTTCCAAGAAGGACAAGAGGAAAATGAGACATGATAGATTTTTAGAAAGTAAGATCATGTTGCATTTTTGTTCATTGCTCCTTCAGTCAACGGTGACGGAAAGGAAGGCTTCGTTAAAATTGTGTAACATTATCATAGGGAGGAAATATTCTCTTGATAAGGGAGTTCACGAAGATTGTATTTTGCGATGGTCAGATAGCCTTCATTGAGATGCTCTGTCTCTGGTTGCCCCCTTGCACCTCCGATTATAGCACGATTGGCCACATACGCTGTGAAAGAAGGTTAACATACGCACAACAAAAACACCCACCACTCGCCACTAAGCGGCGGTGACGTCACCAAGGCGCCTGTGCCAGGCCAGGTGCACCTTGAGGCCACGTGAAGTGTCGAAGGCTCGCTGACAGGAGGTCACGGGACAGACCCAGGTGCCATGCATTGGCTGACTGGCAGATGCATCAGCTGTGGCCCCCTACTTTGCCAACTTGCTGGATTTTAGCCACCTGGCGCTCCGCTCGTTGTTGTGAGCATCACTCTGCTGTCTGTTGTTGTTGGAGCGGGGCTGCCTCCAACTGTCCACCAGCGTCCTTCACATGCCTCCTCCACAGAGGCCAATCTTGACACTGCATACATACATACTTGTACACACAGCCATCGTCACTCAACTGCGGCCTACAGTATTTCGAATCTACCAAAAGTGTTTCAAGTTTTTGATGGGTGTATGGGCTTCCAAAAAACACAGCTTATGCCAAAATAGACATGCAGTGAGATGCCTCTCTTAGCTGTGAATTATAGTTATTTTCAAGACCCAGTCATCTGTGAATCAGGTTGTTTGAAATGGCCACAATTGTAACTGGTCAATTCCACTATTGGACCTACTTCCTGTGATCCACTGGTTTTGAAAATTGCTTTTATCCGTAAATGGATATTTTAAATGTATTACATGCGTGTACCTGCTTTTTAAAGAAGCTTAATTTAACCCCATCTTTATATCTTTCTTGTCTGTAATAAGGCTTTGCGGTGCAAGTATTGCAGGTCATTGTACAACTAATATGGTAAATACGTTACTTAAAATTACTTTGGATCACTCAGTTATCATGTAATTGTTATGAATGATAATGGTCATAATTTCACAGTCCACATTTTAGAACGTATATTAATTTCCCAGGTAGCAATAGCTAATTGTCTTACATTGATGCAATTTATGTAGCTGAAGGTTTTTTTTGGTGTCAACCCATTCACATGCTCTCCCATCCCTCCCCTCCCATCCCCTCCCATCGTTTGCATTCAGAAATTGAGGCGATAAAAATTGCCCGGCAGAAGCAGCTTGAGAGGATTAAGCGCAGCAAAACGGCCGTGGTGGGAGACATGCACACACTGGCAAATGCCCTGCCAGAACTTGACCAGCTGAGTGCCACCATTGCACAAAATACAAGCAAATGCACAAGGTATGGTGGTGGGGAATTGGTGATTTGTTAGTATATACTTCACCTTATTTTGCACTTCAGCCATGTTTTGCACATAACCGATCTATGGAAGAGTTGCCTGATATTACAAAAGAAAAAATGGATAAATATAGATGGATGGTGTGGATAAAAATATATATAATACTATTATAGTTGTAAACAATTTTTTTCAAAGAAAGCTTTTTGTTCATATTGTTTGTGAATCATTGTAACAAATGAACAGCTATTTTAAGTAATGTAAATAGTATGGTTTGACGAAAAAAAACAGTGGCATAGTTGTTGCTGCTGCACTGCCCTATGAACTCAGCGACCTATTCCTGTCCACAGCTAACATCTGTGGCACGTGATATCCGAAATGATTCTTCCAATCTCTGCCCCCTCTTCACCAACCCTGATTGTCCAATGTGGGGAAGTATGGTCAAACAGCCCGCACAGCCAACACGGTATAGGGAGGCCTTTATCCTGCTGTGGGCTGCCAAAGGGGCTGTAAATGATATATTTTGTTCGTGTGTTTGTGAGATTTGCCACAATGTACAGTGGTTATTCTTTCAGTTGTAACTAAAAACTGCATAATTTGTACAAATATCAGTGCAGTTTTATTAAAAAGCGATTCAAAAGGTTTTATTAAAAAGTTAATATTTTCAGGATATAATTTTAAATATTTATTTCCACGACTTACAAAAATACAAATTTTAGCATTCCGGTTCAGTGGAACCTGCATTGTCGAACTTGGTGGGGGGGGGGGGGGCGATGGGTGGGGGGAGATTTGGCACCAACTCTCTGCCTGCCCAGCTCCTCTGGTTCTCTGCGCCCGTGAGTCGTCCTCTCTCTGTGGGGGAGTGGACCCTGCGTGGCACGATACAAGTTGAACTTATTTTTGTTCATTATTGGGAGCCACGGTGGCTAGATGTTAACTATCTCGCCTGGTATACAGGCGGTTGTGGGTGCAATCCCTGACCCTGACACCTGTATATTTAGAGTTTGCATGTTCTTCCCGTGGTCGTGTGGATTTTTCTTCAGATTCCTCCGGTTTCCCCTCCAAATTTAGAAACCTGCGTTAGAGTATTTGGCTGATATAAATTTCCGAAGATTCTGATTGTGATAGTAACTCTTAATTTTTTCCTGCCATTGCTAGTGACACACTCCAAAGAAGTAATCCAAGCAAGATAACAAAAAGCAAGCGAAAGAAGATGTTGTAAGTATGCTAACACCACACTGCCTAAGTTAAAGCCTAAACATATAAATAATCCACAGCAGTGGAAATCATTACTCAGTGTAATTCTGCAACGGCACTCAAATTTATTAAAATAAGCTCCCAAACAATACTATCTCCTTTATCTACTATTTGATATGGGAGAAATATGGCCAAGAGGACTCCATAAAATATAGTAGTTTTGAGGGAAAGTCTTAAATACTAGCCTTTTTCCCGTCCAAGGACGGGTGTATTTCAGTCATTCTAAAACTTGCAAGCGAAAAGCAGACCGCGACATGATATTCATTGCATCAATTCGTGTGCAATTTGTAAGGCAGCGGTGACACAGACCTAGTTTAATTTAAAGATTATAATCCCTTGTTCATCATGACATCCTTTTTACTTCTGTCTCAATAGCGTTACGTGACGTGAGGGTTCTGCCTTTGTAGTGAGGATTGTAAGTTGACGCTGAGGAGGGGGGAGGAGGCCCCTCAGCCCCCAATGTGGAGTGACGTCAGCCGCTAATTATTAATGAGGGGGGGGGGGGTCCATGTGGAGGACATCACCTGTTCATGATTATTAATGAGGGGGGCTGGCCGACGTGGAGTGACGTCACGTGCGGGACACACAGACATTCTTGGCTCATTATAGTAGTTAATACTGTAACTGATTCATGCCACTGCAAGCACTATTATTATAAGAATGTTACTTCATGGGTAGATGTCATGTTAGGGGTGGCTATCTTGGGTCAAGTCCGGTTCAAGCGTGCTCGTTAGACTTCCTGTGATTATACAACGGTCACAATTTTCTTTTTGGCCACCAGCAGTTGTGTATCATTGTTTCGAGTCTTGGCGTTTACCTTTCCCTTCTGCTTTTTGTGATTCCACCAGGGAAGATGAACTGTCACGCCATGCCCAGGTGCTGAGTCACCCAGCTTTCAAGGCTGATCCTTTAGCAGCAATTAGTGAACACCTGCGGAACAAGATGAAGCAAGAAGATCTGGAGCACATGCAGCAGTCCTGATGCGTGTGTGAACGCCCGTTACATTTTAACGCAGCTTAACGATTTGCAAACCTCTGCTTCTAAAATAAATCGTACTGGCTGTGGAGTTAATGTAAACGTAGCCGTGGAGGATGGCCCAGTCCATGCTTTGTTTGGCAATGGCTCTACAAATAATGCAGCTGTAGAACTTAATGTCTATTTCAGAAGGTGATTGTATCTTTGGACATCTGTTGTTGTGTACAGCTGAAGTGACAATTGTTATTAAATACTGATACGCAGATGTCAAACGCTCTTGGTTTGTCAAGCTGGAATGTTAACCACTACAACGTTGCTTCCTTCTATTGTGGTGCAACAGCCCATGCTGAAACACTGGAACGTTGCCGCTTCTCTTTGGCAACATAGTTGCACATTACCGAGCCATTATCGTAAATCACAACCCGCCTTATGTCACTACATTGCAGGCCATGAGGCCCGATGCTTTCTCGACTCCCTTACCCTGCCATCTTGCCTGGTTGCATGGCCCAAGGTTGCTCACAAATCCATCGGGGGATTCAAGCAAAGAAGGATAACATTTTGGCCTATGAATAATAAAGGCACTCTAGAGCTGCAACGCAGTGGAAATAGAGTTGCAGACAGGCGAAAAGGAAGGACTCGTGTCTGGACCATAACAGAAGGTCGGTGTAGTTGGATTGTACAGCCAGGAGGAGGTATTTCCCTTTTTATTTCGATTTTACTTCAAATTAAAATTAGTCAAAGTGTTTCATGTTGTCATCTGATGAGACTAAACTTGGAGTAATACTAGATTACGTTTTTATGCCTTCGGTTAACTGGCAACATCAATGTGTTGGAATCAACGTTGCTCATTGCATTGTATGCTACATTTGTTTTATTTTATGAAATGTATTGTACAATCTTGCGCCACTACATAGGAAACGTGTTACTCATGATATAATGTACACGATTGTTAAGGTAATGTATCCAATCCACGCATTACATTTTAATGTGCTTGCATGCTGATGAGGCTCAATCTTTTCGTGATGGCGCATTAGCTGTAATTGGCGAGGCAAGTGCAATTTCCAAGTCGATCAATGGCCCGCCTAGTTTTTCTTTTTTAACTGAAGAGGTCTGCTGCATCTTCCGTTGGGTGGTGGTGGCGGCGCACGCCTGTAATCCCAACACCGGAGGCAAGGGTTGGTGGACCACCTGTTTTATCAGATCCCCCCCCCGTGGGTTTCGAGGTGCCATACCCTGGCTCGCCAGGAGAAGGCGGTACAGCAAATGCCTTGCTGATCTCGTCAAGGAGCATCCACCATCACGTGAACTCCGTTCATCCTCGCAGAACATTTTGGCTCGCCATCGGACAAAGATGGTCACTGCATCGCGCGCTTTCAGATGCGCTGCTGCGGCCGTCTGGAATGCCATTCCGATATTAGGAAGCCAATGGAGCTATGCAGTTCTAAATCTAGATTGAAAGCTCTAATGCATTTTGTGTTTTGTTCTCCCCCCCCCGCACCTCTGATTAGCACGGTTAGCTACGTATGATGTGAAATAGGTTTTTTTTTTGTATGGGATAGAGTGTTGCCCCCTCACATGCGTGAATTATCTCCGGGCGCCCCGGTTTCCTCCCACGCGTAACACATTCGTGCGGAGGGAGCTGGTAGGAACGATGGGTTGCGCGGTCAATGGCCAGGGTCAACGGCGGCATGGTGTATTCCGCAAATATGGCCGACTGAGGGCGGGCACAAGCCGGCGTGAGTAGGTTCAACGTTGAGTTTTATAAGGGCACCACGGGGTGACCAGCCCCTCCCCACCCAGCCCCACCCTCCCACCCTCCACCCAAACCCACCCTCCCCACCCAGCCCCTCCCCACCCAGCCCCACCCTCCCCACCCAGCCCCTCCCTGCACGACGGACGGACACAATAATCCCCTGTGGGCTGGTGTAACCAGGAGGTTCCTACCAGTATAAACACTCGTTAATTGGCCAGAAACATGAATACGTAGAGGACCACAGAGCTCGGACAGATGTTGGTAGCTCCGGGGCAGCGCCGCGTGGTGAATGTGCGTTTCAAGTTCGAAGTGACGTTGGATTTAAAAATGAAGATGTATCGAGTGGGATTTAGAACGGTGCAAAACATTGGCCGCGGATAGCGTTTTCTTCGGCAGATGAGAACGCGGCACGATCCAGGGATAAAGACACGGCGCCCATTTCTGTTGATAAAGCACCAAGCTGTGAAAACAGTGTTCCCATTGCAGCATCATAACAACTTCGCAGTGTCGGAAACAATCGCCTTTAATAATGAGGACACATTTTTGGCATTGTTATTTTCCCCATTTGAAACGACAACTTTCACACCGACTGCAAAGGTGTTCGTGGTTGTTCCTGTACGGCTCTGGCGTGTGCGTTCGGATTGTAGCGCGTTTTGTTCGGCACGAAGTCTGACCTGTAATCACTCTACGTGTTGGGGGCTTCTTAAGGAACTGGAGAAGCTCACATAAGTTGGACATGATGCCGTATTCACGTCGGAAATCTATCCGTCTACTTGCTAGATAGTGGTGAGAGTGTGTCTGCGTTAGGCCGACATTTTGGTATAAACGAGTCGACTGCGAAATCGATTTAAAGAACGCTGCCCATAGTGCTAAAATGATAGCTGCGTTGTTATCAAACACCTGCATCTCGTAAGGAGTCATGCATTTTCACCAGCACTTATCTCATCAAATAATCATCTTCAAAGTTAAAAAAAAGAATTGCGCTTTGTTTTATTTATTGTAGTCATTGTTATTCAACATTTACCCCCCCCCCCCTCCCACCATGTTCACTCATACAGGACCGTAACCCCGTTTTTCCCATTGCGACAAGGTTTCTGCATTCGCGAATTCTCCATTAGCGAGCGTTTTTAACAACGTAACCGTCACGGATAGAAGAGGGTTTACTCTCCTTGACACCGACACCAACAGCGTTTTGCAGACAACCATTTGACATTCTGTAACTCGTATTTGTACAGAATGAGTTGTAAAAATACAGCAACTACAGTAAAGTGATTATGGGATGTCAACATGCACAAAAGTCACTTGCTGTACATCAGAAAGCCAGATTACTGTGTATACACGTGTGACGGTCATTGCGAAATTGCGTGCCCTCTCCCCAATGGCACGTCTCATTCAAAACAAACGGTTAATCTTTGTTATTTATCTTAACTGTTCAGTTTTTGTACTAGTTGTGCAAATACTGGACATCCACGGAAACTGGACTGAAATGGTATGGTGTACTAGGCTACATCTTTACAAGCAGACATTACTTGTAAAAATAAATTATCCTGTGAATGCACAGGAGGAGCTTAACCGTGTTTACAAATTGGCTATCAGGGTCACAGCTGGAGATGAATATCACGACCAGATCCAGGCTGAGCCTGGGGATTGCCAGTAAAGTTTAAACAACATCGATCCTGATGCCCATTAGGGGAACATTACTGTCATATGTACGACTCTGGAGGTAATTCTCTATTGCTCACCTGCAATTGTGATTATGCCATTGCACGCCAGGCCAGATCCTATGATATTTCATTCTGCAAGACAGCGCTGCGTGTTTTATTTTGCCTGGGGAGTTTACAATTGTTGCATTTAAATGTTTTGACGCCTGCGGATAGAGGTCGTTTCCATCAGGAGAATATTCACCATTTCAAATAAATATATTTCTCACAAGTGAATCAAACGTATGCAAAATGTCCGTGTTTTTTATGGGTTTTTTTTCAAGTAAAGCTGGCCAACGACAGGAATTCACGGATCGTTGGATCACAGATCTTTGCTGTAGTCAGCATATAATTTGCTGACCTACTTGACCTATCCGTAGAGATGTTTGTTATCCTGTCTCACGTATGTTTTCCAAGCACTGGATTTCTTGAAAATGGCAAACAAAAAATTCGCATCGCACCACAGCGCAGTGCAGGCCTCTTTTTTTTAAGCGTCTTGCGTTTTGCGTGATTGTTTTCTAAGAATATTTAAAGGACAAATGGCAGCCTTTTCGCACTTAAGTGAGTAAGACTACATTTCTGACTCCCAATGGGCCAAAGTGAAACATTTGCACTGACCTGGAGATGTGAACCCAGATAAAGTGTCACTTTCCTGATATCTTCCATATGCTCACAGTTCTAACGCATTACTTGTGGCACCCAGAAGAAATATTATACTCACCATTGCTGTCTTTTCTCTTTCATATGCTCAAGATCACAGGCTTGCACATTTCCAACTATTATATACTGTTAGAGTTAAATTTCCAGACTGGAAGCTCGAGACAAAACACCCACATTGTTATGGAAGCTGCTCTGCTGAAGTCTGCATAAATCTTTTAGTTACGCCAGGCTGGTGCCAGCTTCTCTAGATTACACACACACTCACTCAAACTCGTCCAATGGAATCAGACGTGGTTCTGGCTGGCGAAGCCGATTTCTCTTTTTCACAGTGCAGAGGCTGTAGTTAATTTATTCACTTGCAGTATCGAAGTCATTCTTCACCATACGAAGATGAATTTCGCTTATTCCAGTATATGCCAGATTTTTTTGCTGAGCCAAGTCTATAAGGTGATTCCACTGTTTGTTATAATTCCATTCCAATACAGTGTTGTGACAAGGACCTGCTTTGAGTTTTCATTTTAAATGTTTGAAGTTATCAGTACTCCATACTACGGGTTTTTTGGGTTAATAATGTAATCACATTCATTTTGACAACATATAGTATATACTTTTGTACCGTATATATTTCGATTTAAAGCTTTCGTGACTGCAGGGATTCATCTTCTTGGTTCTTTCGGTAAAGTCACGTAGAAGGGAAGTAATAAAATAATAAAAATAAAATATATTATATTATTTTATTGTTTTATTTTTTATTATTTTATTACTTCCCTTCTACGTAACTTTACCGAAAGAACCAAGAAGATGTACCTATATACTTTCAGCTTTGACTTTAAATCCGTACTCTGATGACATTCGTAGCAGTATTGCGCAGTTCAATACACAACCCTCATGTGTTCTATTGTTTCATGTTTTGTGTTGCTTCAAGGACCACGTGTTGTTTGGAGTTTTCCCCCTGTTGTTTATAATCTACAGTGTAAAATGAATGACTGGCTGGTGTGTGAGTCGAATGTCGAGTTAGTAGCCAAAGGGAACCATGCAGATTATTCGGGGCCCTTGGTAGAGTTTCAGAATCAGAATATCTATTTATATACTGGAGGGATGTGATGAGCTATGAAGCTCTTTATAACAGATTACAGTAGGGGGGGGGGGGGTCAGAACGTAACAACAATAAATACTACAAAAAGTATTGGAAAGGTAAATATCACTTAAAAAATATGCAAATAAAACGAAACTTTAATGTATCTTACCAGGTATAGCCCACTGAGGTATTAACTTATCAGAAGCGACCTGGCCACAAATAATAGCGCAACAAAGTGGCTTATGTGGTAATTTTCTCTCAGCAAAAACATCTACATGCATATTTTTTTTCGTTTGATGAGCTATTGCCTGCATAACCACGTGCTCTTTCACACGTGATTATGAATTTCACCAAAGTTAGAGAATGAGTTTAGCCTTTGTGTTCTCGTGCCGTCTTACAAAGACATAACTTAAACGAAAAATTGCCAATTTTGAATACGAAATTTACACTTCGTATTACTGTAATATTATAAAGCGCTTGAAACTCATGTTAATGTTTAAGGTTTACGCATTTGTAGCGAAACCTTACGATTTATGTGGTATTTATTGCTGTACATGTGTTGGTCTACATCTTGATTTGAAGCTTTCGTGACTGCAGGAATCCATACTCGTTGGTTCTTTCGGTAAAGTCACGTAGGTAGAAAATTAATAGACCGAAACGTCGTGATCTATTAATTTTCTATCTACGTGATTTTACCGAAAGAACCAAAGAGTATGGTCTACATCTTCATCAGGAACGTCTTAACCAAGTCATTTTATAAGTGCTTGTGTGTGTGTGAACAAAACATATTTTTGTAAATGTACATTTTAATAAAATGCTTAAAGCGCTGTCCCATTGCAGTAAACGCGTAGAGTATTGTGTGAGCCGACAACTGGTGTACGCATAGAGACGTGCAAGTAGACCATTCACGCAATCTGTTTATAATCGTCTGACGTATAGAACAAGCAGCGCCAGCAGCTGGCGCCCAAGACGAACCATGCAATCAGCGCCCCCACCCCAAGTGGGCTGAGGTTTTTTGGTAAAGTGGGTAACATTTTGCCCCTATTTTCCGTTAAATGTTTTTTCAGCGTATTATTTTTTCATCAGAGGCATAATTATTCGGTTTGTCTGTCCGTCCAACCAATACATTCTCAGAAATGTTGATAAATTAAGTATAATTAATATTCCCTCCGTACGCGCACAGGAATTGCAACAATGCCATTTTCGTTATTTTGTATTTTTTAAATTTGTATTTTTTCTCCTTGAATTTGGACGTCCCCCCACTTAACTTGGCGCGCTAGTTCGCCTGTATGGACTGGCCGTCCCTGAGAACAAAACAATTCAAAGATCTACAGAGGGTGAGTGATGCGTTATTGTAGTTACTTCATTGAGATGACCCTCCTACGAGGACTGTGTACAAAACGAGTGTGCCGTTGACTTCTGCAGCAACACAGGAAGGCCAGTAGATGGTGGCAACGCTCACGAATCACCGCTGCCTTTCTGGACACGAAAGCCCAGCAGTTTCATTCGCATGTGACAGAAATGCCAGTTATGGGTTTAGCATGTTTGTCGGATAATCGGAACTTCAGATGTTCGAGAGAGAAAAAAACCCCTTGGCACTGAGGATTTTAGAAGGTCTTTTGAAGATGATGAATTCACTAATCTGCAATGCTGTATTTAGTAAAAACAAAAAGACGGCAGATATTTGAACATGTGTTAAGCTTGGGCTCCTTTTTCAGATACACTAGATTCGGCAACATAGCGAAACAAAGCAGCGTTTAACAAGCTCCCTTTGATCCATTTCCATCACCCTTTAGTGCTTGAATTCACCGGTGCCACATTTAGTCTAGTAACCAATTGTATTAGTGATTTGTCGTGATTTGGCAGTTTTTAAGTGAGTGTTATGTTAACTCCAGGTTGTTGCGTGCCAGGTTGCTACAGTGAGTCGTGGTGTCGTTTCCGTTGTGGACACGTGTGAGGAGGATACGTGGCAGCTTTTGAGGATGTCCGCTTATGGTCTGGCGCTTGCACACAACTTAATTGCACACGTGGTGCAGGGCAAGAGTTGGGAGTAATGATTTTGTATCCTGCACTGCCCTTGCTTGCGGTGTGATATTACAGGCAGGCATGTGTTCACCTGTGTACTTTAGAGTTTAGAGTGTTAACAGAAAACATGATTTGAGCCCTGAAGGCAGAGAAGAGTGAATGTGATATTTTACAAATAAAGTGGATGAACAGTTACATATTTGGCACCTTCAATATACTATACATGTTCACCTCACTTTAAACACGATTTCTGATTCTAGGTAAGAAGATGGCAGATTGTTGGATGCAGTGGTGTGTTCATTGGATGCAGCGGTGTGATACCATCACATTGGGATGACCAAAAAAGGTGCCTGAAATGATTTGATAAGAGACCCCATATGGCGTGTTCTGGGATTACTTTGTGTGACCGGATTCCTTGTCAAGAAGAGATAAGTTAAGAGCTTCACTTGGAGAACAGGGCTGTAAGATTATGTCCATTTGAACAGGTTACGCTGATTTGCTTTGAGTAGGTTTCTGCATTGTTAGGTTTATGTTTAAAATAATTTCTCCAAACATATTTTGAGGGTTATTATGTTTGGTAATATTGTAATATGTTTAAGCGTGTGATTTGCTTTGAGTAGGTTTCTGCATTGTTAGCTTTTCGTTTTAAAAAAAAATTCTCCAAAAAATATTTCGAGGGTTATTGTGTTTGGCAAGTTGTAATATTTTAAACGTGTTTTTTTTTATGACTTTGAACAATACTGCATGTTTCTGTTGATGTCTTTGGCGGTGTTTGTCAATGACTGTTAGAATGCTTTTTTAGTTGGCAGTGTTTTCCGCAGTGGAATGTTTCCCCTCCCCCCCATAGACTTTAAGCATTGGCTGTGACATCATCGTCATCAGCTTGGCACCTCACAATTGACTGAGTACCAGATGCTTTGTTAGCAACATGATAGCAGAAAAACAAGTATAATCCACAATGTGACTGCGGTCTTCATTGGCCTAATGCGGTTTGATATAAGCAGCTTAACTTTGATTTGCAGGATGCTGTCAGTCGGTCACTGTTTGTGTGTGAAGCACTTTCCTTTGTAACAGCCGACTTACATTGTAGAAAGGTAGTAGAACAGTTCTGTACTCGTGATGCGATATGAATATAAAGGTGAACGGTTTACAACTACGAAGTTGGTTTACAAAAATACAAGGGAACAAATGGCACGTGGTGCAGCCTATCAGTGACTGACAAGAACATAACTTACGTACAATCATGCCGACAGGGCAGACATTGTTGATGCATTTCCTATATAGCTTTGCAGTCACCTGCTTTTCCTTCTCGGTGTGTTTTGCTGATAGTTTGTAACCCAGCGCATATTTTTGTCATGTTGACAGATACTCTTTCACTGGAGTATTAGCGTTTATACGACTCTGGTGTCCTCCATAGAGCGTTACGTGAAGTACATTATATAACTCTGTATTTTATAAACTGCTGGATATTCTTCTTTTGTTGGACTATAGGCTTTTTAGTCACAAAAACACGCAAAGACAGCCATATAGGTTTATGCTTTCCATAAAATTGAGGTCTTAACATATGCAGCTTTTTACTCACCCTTTATCTTTGTTTCATGATTCGTGTTTTACTTAAACCAATTCAACATCAATCTAATTTCCGTCAGTAGACTTGTGATTCGTTGAAGGGTAGAATGCAGATATTTGAGCTCATGACTGCACCTGTTGTGTTGTATTCAAATGTGAGAATTGAGCTAAATCACAAGTGAACATCCTCACGCACGCATTACCTGGCTAACAGGTTGTGATGAATGCAATGTGTATTGACATAAATGGTGTCACTACTGTGTAGCGACAGTACCGAGCGATGACGGGTACTGTATGCGTGGTGCCTCTCTATGGCACCGGTGTGAGCATGGCACGGCATGACTCACTGGAGGGCAGGGTTCAGGCGTCACTGAGGTCGGGTCACGTGATGTAGAACTCGGACCCTCCCGAAGGATCTGGAGGGGGGCATGGCCAAGGGCAGAGCCGACCATGCCGGAGCGGATACAAGCCAAGTCCCAAGAGAGATCTGGGCTGTTCACCCTGGGAATGAAGCCGCCACCTACGATCCTCGGTCTCTGATCTTCAGGCAGCCTGTTAGCTGTCCTGGTCGAACTATATAGATCCCTGCGAGTGTTAGCTAGTTAGGAGCGGTGGTCACCACCCTATGTCGTTATCCCGTTGACGTAGAGTACCTGTTGTGTTAATTACTAAAACGTGTTGCCTCCAAGTGCAAGTGTGTGCCTCAATAGAATCCACTACAAATGTATAACATTGCGTGGGAACATTTTTTTGTTCCTGAGTAGTATTATTTACTAATTGCTTATGCCTCAAAAGTACAGAAAATGGCTATTATTCCCCACAAACTTTGTTTTTGTGACCAGGGCAATGATATTTTGTAGGATGGTACAGATAATTTGGTGGGAACCCACTGACCACTCAAGCAACTGCTACTTCTGCATGGTGAACCCTTCCAAATGTTGGACTGGCA